ATAAAATGCTATACTAAACAAATGCATTGGTGTAATATTACAAAACTCAGTGTGTGCCATAAGCAGCATGCCCTGAAGGTACTCAAAAGATTTTGAGACAGCGCCACCTGTTGGTCAAAAGTTATAATTAATTTCTGAGAACGCTAATAACTTTTGAATAAATTTGCCTATTGCAATGAAACTGATCTTAATAGATTCCTTGGGTTATGCCGAAAACATAGATATCAGGTTTTCCATAATCAGACAAACTTCCTGTTCGCCATCTTTATTTCTTTGAAAAACCTTCTTTTTCGAACTCCTCCTAGACCGTTTGTCCGATTTTCACGAAAATTGAATCGTATCATCTCCAGACCGTGCCGACTAAAAGTTATGAATTGCACGATGATAGACAAAACCGTTTTCGTATACCACAGCATCAAATTTTAGGCATGCTGCCAAAATTACTATTTAGGCTTTATCTCTGCAATGCCTTCACATTTTGACACCAAACTTTGCATGTGTCATTGTCACCTCACTCTGACCACATCACATCTATTTCGTAACTGCGCCACCTATTGTTCGAAAGTGATAACCCATTAAATCATCTTATAAGTTAATGTTTATGTGATTTTCTTAGCCATTTGCCCAAAGTTCTCTCAAAATGCCCTTAATTGCTCCTTGCTGCAGTTGGTCTGCCACTCCTTGCCATTTTGGCATATGTTGCCGCTTCTTGCGCTTGGCCCCGGTAATGGCTGCTTGCAGCTATATTTATTATTATTATTCTTCTTCCGACTGGGCGTCTATGGCAGCCCATAGACCGGTTTGCGGGAAAGTTGTTTTGGTTTGACATTCTGATAGAGGACAGTCCCAACTTTAAATACACCAATTTTGGTGTCTCTAACTCATTCCCTCTAGCGCCACCAACTGTCCAAAGTTTCACTTTTATTATGCTAATAACTTTTGAACCGTAAGGCCTATCAACAAAATTCTTTTTTCCTCTTGTTCCTGAGCTCATGCCGATTCGATCGCACCCTATGACGTCATTTTCCGTCATAAAAAAATGGCCGCCATTTTGAATTTTCCAAAAAACCTACTTTTGCGAACTCGTCCTAGACGGTTTGTCCGATTTTCACCAAAATCGCACCGGATCATCTCCAGGCAGTGCTGACAAAAAGTTATGGAATTCAAGATGATTCGAATAACCGTTTTTGATAAACGCACAAACTAATTTTACATAACGCTTGCAAAAACAGACGTAAGGCTGTATCTCCGCAACGCTTCATCCTATTCAGACCAAACTTGGTACATGTAATCACAAGCATGACCTGAGGCTACATGCAGCGTTTCGGCGCAGCGCCACCTAGTGGTCCGGAGATATGAAAAATGGCTATTTTTGCTCGTAACTTCTGAACGGTTTGTCCAAAAATCATAAACTTCATCTCGTTAGATTCAGGGCATCATGCCGAGTCGACTGATATCCAATTTTCCCAGATCGGCCATTTTGGCTGTCGGCCATTTTGAATTATGTGCTAAAATGCTGTATTTTTTGAACGCATGAACGAATTGTTACGAAACTCGGTATGGGTCATCAGTACGATGCCCTGAAGGAGCCTGAGAAGTTTCGAAACAGCGCCACCTAGTGGTGAATTTTTTTCTTCAAACGCTTATAACTTTGGGTGTGGTACACTTATTTTCACGGGAGTCATATTTTTGAGGTCCTGAATCGTTGCCGAGTCCAATGATACCAAATATGTCGGGTTTCGTCTCACGGATGGCGTAGCGTAGCGATTTAGCGCGAAAAAAACACTTGGCGATATCTTCAAAACCGCTGTTCCGATCGAGACGAAACCACCGTCAGAAACACGGAATCATAGCTTGTTAACTATATGCAAATGCCCAAATGCGAAAATATTGATAGTAAGGGGTAGTAAAATTCAAACAAAGTCATGTGTCAGTCATTTTTTACGTGTTTTTTCATATAAATGTTTATAACTCGGAATCAAATTGAGATATTTTCACCAAAATTGACACACATATGTATGGGGTCACTCTGAGGACACATAAAAAAAATTGTGGGACTGAGCCTCTTGGTGGCGCTATAATAGAACAAAACGTGAATTTCCCATTGACTTCAATACAGTTTTGTGAAATACAATGCTATACTAAACAAATGCTTTGGTCAAACATTACGAAACTCAGTGTGTGCCATAAGCAGCATGCCCTGAAGGTACTCAAAAGATTTTGAGACAGCGCCACCTGTTGGTCAAAAGTTATAATTAATTTCTGAGAACGCTAATAACTTTTGAACAAATTTGCCTATTTCAATGAAACTGATCTTAATAGATTCCTTGGGTTATGCTGAAAACATAGATATCAGGTTTTGCATAATCAGCCAAACTTCCTGTCCGCCATCTTTATTTCTTTGAAAAACGTTCTTTTTCGAACTCCTCCTAGACCGTTTGTCCGATTTTCACGAAAATTGAATCGTATCATCTCCAGACAGTGCCAAATAAAAGTTACGGATTGCGTGACGATAGACAAAACCGTTTTCGTATACCACAGCATCAAATTTGAGGCATGCTGCCAAAATGACTATTTAGGCTTTATCTCTGCAATGCCTTCACATTTTGACACCAAACTTTGCATGTGTCATTGTCACCTCACTCTGACCACATCACATCTATTTCGTAACTGCGCCACCTATTGTTCGAAAGTGATAACCCATTAAATCATCTTATAAGTTAATGTTTATGTGATTTTCTTAGCCATTTGCCCAAAGTTCTCTCAAAATGCCCTTAATTGCTCCTTGCTGCAGTTGGTCTGCCACTCCTTGCCATTTTGGCATATGTTGCCTCTTCTTGCGCTTGGCCCCGGTAATGGCTGCTTGCAGCTATATTTTATTATATATATTTTTATATATATATATATATAATCTATATAATCTAATATATATAATCGTGATTAATAGTATCCAAAATAAAAGTTTGTGTTTACATAATATATGTGGGTGCACTGTGTATAGTTATTTTGTATATATATAAATACACACATGCTTGTATATATTTAAGAAATATTTTCATGTACAGTATATACTGTATATAGATTGATATATAATTTCTATTATATATAAATAGCAATATTTTATATATAAATACATTTTTTTCTTAAATATACATGCATGTGTGTGTATTTATATATACAAAATAATTATACACAGTGCACCCACACATATATTATGTAAACACAAACTTTTATTTTGGATGCGATTAATCGCAGCCCTAATATATATATATATATAAATGACCGGGAAGTAACTATTATTTTGTTTAAAACCATGGCTACCATGGTCAACATTCTGTTAGGAAAAGGTGTATTATACACCTTGATCCGTGAGACGAAAGGAATGTCATTGTCACGATGATGAAACAAACATCTCTAACGACTCTAATATACATTAACCGGGAATGAGACAAACACAGAAACCAGCATTCCAACCTGCCAGCCAAGCAAACAGACGCAAGGCCACCGGGTTCCCACAAAGGGCACGGACAGAGATGTGTTTGTGCATCGTGTGCCATTATACTAGTGTACATGTGTGCTAGTGCACACATGCCTGGCGCCACCTTATACAGTGCGCTTGATCTTAAGACAGAGCGCTGGCCAGTGCTGATGGATAAAGCCAGCGAAGCTAAGACTGCAGTAATTACTCCCGTGGGGCTCCATCAGTTCAAAGCCAAAGAAACCTGCTGGATGCCTGCGCTCTAGTCAAGCAGATAAGCCTGGTTAGGTCTTTGAATACATCTGATGGGATCTTTTCCAGGAGTAAGAAAAGAAACACCACCTTCCTGTTTGCTGTAATAGGTTCTTTCACAAAATACTGTAGAATGAAATGTTTCCCCTGATAGATAATAAAGCCCACAAGAACCACAATATATCTGTCAGAATTTACAGGTAAAATAATTAGCAATTCAGCAGGATATGAACTGCATAAACCAACCTAGCCTGGCTAAACTGGGGCAAGGTGCATAAAACAGCACTAGATTGAGACTTTCGGTGCGTCTGAAATTGCGTACATTTGAATTTGAACTTACTTTGAAAAAAGTACATGGGTATTATGGGGAGTTTGAATGAAAATTGGACGTGCTACATCCGCCATGTTGTTACTGTCATGTGATCTACCAGCATTAGTTGTTTTGCTTCACTGTGATTCATAAACCCTCTCTTGTGGCCTCATGGGATAGTAAAGTGTCCATCGAGTGTGCTCTTCAGTGTCTCACCGGAAGTACTCATTTGGGGTACTCATTGTTATTTGGTCTAATGTATTTGGACATGCTACTCTTCTGTAGGGCTGTGAAACGATTAATCGCGATTAATCGCATCCAAAATAAAAGTTTGTGATTACACAATATATGTGTGTAGTGTGTATAATTATTTTGTATATACAAATACACACACATGTATATATTTAAGAAATATTTGCATGTATATACTATACATATATTTTTACACAAAATTTATATTATACTTAAATATAAATATTTGATATATTAATAACACATTTTTCTTAAATATATACATGCATATGTTTGTATTTATATATACAAAATAATTATACACACACATATATTATGTAAACACAAACTTTTATTTTGGATGCGATTAATCGCGATTAATCGCTTCACCGCCCTACTCTTCTGGCGTACTGTTTTTCGCATACTAAATAGTAGGGAATTTAAATCGATTTCGGAGGCAGTGTTTGTTACTTTTCAGGTTCACATTCACAGCAATCTACATCTTACAGTACATTAATGAAAAGTTTCGACCAGTTCAAAAGAAAAAAATGAGATGACTAAATTGTACGAGTAGTCTGCAACCAGCCGCTGATGTTCAGCTAGTTTACCTGGTCAGGTCATATGGATTAACTGACTAAAACTTCTCCAAACCTGGTAAACTAGACCTCAGGGACCAGATAAGACCAGCAAACCACCTTAAACTGGTTTAAGCTGTTTTTTCTCCCTCACCTGATGAGTCTGTGCTCATGCTGTGTTTGATCGCCTCCTCTTCATCAGGACTCTTTGGTTCTTTCAATAGTTTATCCTGTATATCTCCATGTTTGTATGTCTGCTCTGGAGGTTTTTCGGGTGCTGTGTGTTTCTCGGCCTTGTCATTAGTGTTGTTCCCCAGATTATCAAACGCAGGTTTCTCTACTGCTGATTTTCCAGGAACTGTGTGAAAAAGATTACGTGTTCATAAAAAGCTGTGGAAACCACTTATAATTAGCTTAAAAAACAAAACAAAAAAAACACTCACCTTGTTTTAGAGGCTCAGGTCGGTTCAACCAATAAGAAGGCTGGATTGGAAAGTAACAAGGCCGACCAATACCATACTGCCCTGATGATATACACAAGATTTGTCACTTATAATCCTCTGGCAGGCTTTTTATTATCAAATAAACCTGAATATAGTTTACCTGGGAAGACATTATCAAGGTACCATGCGAGAATGGCATAAAGGACCGTATCTAATGCCATCATGATAATCGAGGTGAGAAAGGAGAACTCGTCCCCCTCCAGAAGGCTGGTCTGGATGTTATCCCACTGCAGGCCGAGACCCTGCTCCTCGTAACGGGACAGGTACTCCGTCCCAAAGCCGAACGCCACCTGGGACATCAGACTCTGACACACAATATGACAATCTTAGATTCAGAATATCACATTTAAGTTGCTTTTCCGTTCTGAATTTGTTCCGTTCGGTAGTGAGTATCACGCAACATACCGCCATGATTTTCATATCCTTGGTAATGCGGTCCTGCCAGGCGAAGCAAACGATATGAGGCAGATACAGAGTAAAGTAAATGATTCCACTGCAGGCTGCCGCCAAGTTCGCCTTGTTGAAAAACACGCTCATGAGGAAGCACTGCATGATGGTTGCCGTGGTGAAAGTGAGCAGGAATAGGAAGAGAATGATGGGATTGCTATAGTTCAGCACTTTTCCTCCCTGTGAGAAAACATAGATAAGCTTTTTATATTCCTCAAAACATACATTTGGTTGTACAATACAATACTGCAATAAGGTTTTAGGGTCAATAAGATTTTGTCATGGTTTGAAAGCTCTCTTACACTCACCAAGGCTGCATTTTTTCCCCAACAATACAGTAAAAACAGTAATATTGTGGAATGTTATTACCATTTAAAATAAGGGTTTTCATATATTTCAAGTGTAATTTATTCTTGTGATGGCAAAGCTGTATTTTAAAAGTGCCAATTGAAATGTCTCTTATGATGGTAGCCACAAGATGTCAGTATAGCAAAAAATTGAAAACAGAAAAACCTACCTTGTGAATTTTGCTCACAATTTAGTTGAAAGCAACCTAAAATAATATTTTACAGGGACAGCACCCTTTTTTGAAAGCCATTTCTTTCTTTTTTGAATGTCATGGATCACCTTTGGGAAATGGAACCAACCATCTTGGTTCTGACCAGATCTTTAACCACTATTCTACTGAAGTCTTAGCTGGCCTTGGGGTGTTTTGGACACCATCTCTTACCATGATAATAAGAGTAAGCAGGGCTGTGCTGGACGCCATCATGAAGAATGTGTCGATGAACCATGTGCACCAGAGCACACGGTTAGTGACGCCCATGGCCTTCAGAGTCTCTTTCAACCTCATCTCCTTCTCCAGCACGATGCTCTTCACCGTCATAGAGACAGAGTAGACCCAGGCCAACACCATGAAGATCGGAAAGCAGCGGTTCAGAGTCAGCATGAAGCTGTGTGACATCAATGAGGAGAGGAACATAGATTATTATAGTATATCTTTCAACAATGTCTTAGTAAGATGATATTTAAATGCTTATATGATCAAAGCTCTGTAGTTTTTATTGTGGGGGACAAAACATATAATGCAATGCTATACAATAATGATTGAGAGATGTACAGATGAATGTTGTATCATATTTCTCTAAATAATTATGTATGGATAATCAAGTAAACCTTCGGTCCAGTAACTGTTTATATAACAATAGAAATATTGTAAAAATATCAGTAGATTTCACAGCAAAAACACACGTATGCCACGACCTGACGGGGAACATTTTTATGATTCAATAGGCTTTATGGATTGATGTGTTTAAAGCGGGTGTTACATGCCACAAAGGTAATTTAAAGTGAAAATGAGCATGCACAAAAATAAAAACAAAATAAAACATGATCAGTTACATCTCTAATATTAGCAGATAGAAATAGGTCTAGAAATATCATGCATAAAAATACTGTGTGATACTCACAGGTCATCCACATAGCAGGGATAGGGCATCTGTTGCAGGTAGACTCCTAATGGCCATTCCTTCCCTGTGTGGCTCTTTATTATTCCATGTTCTATCATATCCTGCAAGTATGCAAATCCTCCCCATATATAACGCAGATCATCCATTGGATCAGCCCTCGGCCCTGGATCCCAGTATCTGATCATAGAGGATATATATTGGAATAAATGCAAAGAAAATCAAGAATTGTACCCTTAAAGGTACAGTATTTGAATGTGTTTTTTTCCGAGAGTGTACAGACAGACCTGTCTTTGATCTTGTTGGTGCGCTCTACGACATCAATGTCCATACGGATTTTGAATTTGACATGAGGGGGCATCTTGGTGGTCCAGGAGTACATGTCAACAAACACCAGCCCTGCCCAGAACTTGCTCTCCCCTAGAAGGTCCAGTGCTCGATGGGTCAGCTGGTCCTCATCCGAAATGCTGGAGAACTTGTCCAGGACAAGACACTGTAAATAGATGGGGAGTATTTAAGTATTTAATTTCATCTTATTTCTACTTTATCATATCATGGGTATATGCATGCTGAAATGTGTAATATATAAACTTTATTAGAGGCTCTAGGCCCAACAATAGGGCATACACCACACACAAAAAAAAAAAAAAAATTAAATTTTTTTCTGTATTTTCAATTACATAAATGCAATCTTGATATATATCATATATATCAAGATTGCATTTATGTAATTGAAAATACAGAAAAAAATGTAATATTATGAAATATTATTACAATTTAAAATAAATTTTTTTTTATTTTAACATATTTTAAAATATAATTTATTTCTGTGATGCAAAGCTAAATTTTCATCAGCCATTACTCCAGTCTTCAGTGTCACACGATCCTTATAAAGAACCTAATAAAGAAAACAGTAAGTGGCATGTGTATATATAGCGTGTATATATTATATATATATATATAATACTATTTACTATTATTATAGAAAATATTAAGTAGTATATATATATATATATATATATATATATACATACACTACTTACAATTATATATATACATATACATATATATATATACATACATATATACATATATATACTACTTACTATATACAGTATATACATATATAATATAAAATTGTTAATAGTATTTCAGGTGCCATAACAGAAAGATGAATTAAATATATTTTAAAAAAATGAATGCGATGCCATTGAATGCCGAACTGTCAAACTGAATCAGATCAAGTCGTTCCACTGTATTCAGAATTCAGCACAATATTAGTATCCAAAAAGACTCATTCAATGAGTGTTCAGTTTAATTGAATTGTTTGCTGATTTATTTTCAGTTTGGCAAAAGATGGTGGGAGTCTATTTGAGATCTAGGAGACATTGTTCTCCATGTGGCCGGTATGCACTGCAGTAAACTGGCCTGCGCTTTCTCTTTGTGTAGGTCCAGAAGACTGACAGCTGTATCGAATCGGACTCATTCGTTGGGTTTGTCTGTCACTCCTCGAGTGTTGCTAGCTAAGACAGACAAAAAACTAAAAGACACATGGTTTAGATAGCAGAGGTCTTGCTCTCGCTGGCACAGGCTGCCTTAAGCTCACCCTGATTTGTATTGAAGGCATTCAGCATTGAACTCCACCATTAAAGAGCTCTTCCACACTGGCAAACTCTCAGTGAGAAATCAAACGGTTTTCTTTGTTCTGCTTGACATCAGAGGCAGATCCGGCTGAGAGTGACCACTTGGTTTTCACCCTTCTCCTTCTGAGCTAATCTGGGTCTCTTTATCTACACTGAAATTATAAATGAACTTAGAAATTCTAGCTTATCACCAATAAAAGCACTAACAGTGTTTCAAAGGCTGTGTTTAAAAAAAGGAATATGACCATACTGCAGACTGCACTGTATATGTTGTATACTGCATAGCATACTATGTATTCCATTGAAAATTTGGGATTTCTTTAATTTTTCACTAAAGACACTTTAAACTGATTTTACAAAAGATCTCTATTTTAAATAAATGCTGTTCAAGCAACTCAATTAAAATATCCCAAACGTTTGATATATATACTTTATATTCAAAATAGAATGGAGTATGCAACATTTCAAAACCCTTGTTGCATTTTAGATCCAGGTTTGTTTAAATAAATAAATAAAAAGTAGTTAATCATACTGAAAATGGAAGGTCAGTGCATTGTGGGACACAGAACTCAAGCACTACAGCAAACTTTGCATTTCATTGTTCACCATTGTGTGATTAGTATTCTTGTTGCAAGTATTTGATACCTCTCCGTATCTGTTTATGAGGCGAATAACTTGGTCAGTCAGGTTAAAGATGTTCCGCCAGTCAAAGTTAGGCATGTCCTGGGCTCGATCCTCCTCGGGACCGTTGTACAGGAAGTTGAGGATGTGTTGGCCAGTAAACGGAGTATCCTGGAGCCCTTTATTGATATAATCCATCACTGTGGGGTTTCTAATGGAGTCCTGAGAAATAAAGCACAATATTACACTCTCAGAAAAAAAGGTACAAAAGCTGTCATTGGGGCTGTACCTTTTCAAAAGATACACTTTTGTACCTAAAGGGTGCATATTGGTACATTAATGGTACATATTAGCACCTAAAATGTACAAAATAGCACATAAAATGTACATATTAGCACCTAAAATGTCAATAATATCAGCTAAAATGTATATAATAGCACCTACATGTACATATTAGCACCTAAAATGTCAATAATATCACCTAAATGTACATAATAGCACCTACATGTACATAATAGCACCTAAAATGTACATATTAGCACCTAAAATGGACAAAAGTTTATCTTTTGAAAAGGTACAACCCCAGTGACAGCTTTTTTGTACCTTTTTTTCTGAGAGTGTATGGAACTGAAACCTTGCATGAAATATTGTTGCCGTGATTTTGCCAATCCAAGTAAGACATCCTGGAACGATATTCCTATAGAGGTGATAGGCGAATAAGCTTGGTGTAGAAGCCCCTAACCCAATTGTTGTGAGCCTAAACTTAACATTAACTCTAAACCTATCTCTTAAATTTGATTGGTTTATTGGAACGCAACAAGGATGTTAATCTAATTGGTGAAATCACGTTCACAATTGAAATACTGTGCTAAAAATGAAAGGATCTCTAATATTTTGGTGTAAGAATGTCTAAGAATGTTTTCAAAGAATGTTTAAGAAACCGAGCTCACCCGAAGCATGTTCATCTGTATTCCGTCCTGAAAGAAGCTCCACACCTGTGGGCCCACCTCCTCCCAGGCCCGACCCATGTTCAGAAGTCTTTCTAACTCCTCAAAGGTAGTGTTTGCCTGGGTAAACACACACACACACACTTACAGGTTAGAGGCATTCAAAAAAAGTAAGCAAATTAAACAATCAGTTTGTTTAGCATTCAATGGCGCAGTCACAGAGACAACAATACGCAGGTGGTGGCAACTGGTCGTCTGCTTAGCGTTTGACCACAGAATGACTGAATTCCCACCAGGAGCAGTTTACACAGTCCCACTGAAAGCCCTACTGCATAAACAGAGAAACCGAAGCTTTCTAAAGCTGATCTGATGGGACCAAAGCCATGGCCCAGTGCCCAGGGCAAGCATGTCCCCACCTAAGCCTGTCCTGCACCGGAGCTCTCTCCAGGGGCAACACCTTACCTCCCTCCCACCTTCACTCAAATTCTTTGTTTTTTACTTCCACTTTTCCAATTTGAGAGGCACCAAGAAAAGATTCACAAAGAGCTGCATTTACTCAAATGAACTAGTTTAATAGTTTATATACCCTTGAATCTTAACTTGTTATTGTATATTGTTATATTGTTGATTAAAATCGAGTAACTCTATTCGGTCCCACTTTATATTAAGTGGCTTTAAAGGGATACTCCACTTTTTTGGGAAATATGCTCATTTTACCACTCCCCCAGAGTTAAACAGTTGGGTTGTACCGTTTTCGAATGTATTAAGCCGATTTTCTGATATTTAGAAGAATATCAGTAACCAGACAGTTTCTGGTCTCATTGACTTCCATAGTATATTTTTTTCCTACTATGGAAGTCAATGAGACCAGAAACTGTCCGGTTACTGATATTCTTCTAAATATCAGAAAATCGGCTGACTGGATTCGAAAACGGTAAAACTCAACTGTTTAACTCTTGGGGAGTGGTAAAATGAGCCTATTTCCAAAAAAAAAGTTGATTATCCCTTTAAGTATGTACTTATTGTGTTCATGTTGTATTGTAAAACACTTTTGCTGCTATTGAGATGTGATACGGGTAAGGTGGGTTAAGGTGTAAGGGAAGGGCCAACTGTGTAAATACATATGAAATTACATGCTGGTATTTTAAAAAATATAAGTACAATGTAAAAACACGTATGTACACAATGAGTCCATAGTATCAAATTATTTATTTCAATGTAAATACAGTAGTACTTGAAGCCACTTAATATAAAGTGGGACCCACTATTTTGATGGTCCCACAACCAACATTCAACTGACTATAAGTAACTTTGCAAGTGCATGTCAACTTATTCTACTAAGCCGAACCCTAACCTAAATAAGAGTTAGTTGACATGTAGTTGGTCAGTAGAATGTCTAAAATGGACTATAAAAATAAAATGTAACCTTACATGTTTCCCAGGAGAAAAAAGTTGGACAAGTTGTCGTTTTTATGCATTTGCCAGTCTATTAGACTCTCAGATGCCAGATGTAGACTCTTTTATCAGTTGCTAATGCCATTCTTAACCTTTTGAGGCACAGAAATGCAAGGGTATGCTATCCTGGAAAGAGGGAAACTCATTTAAAAAAGCGCCCAGATGAAAAACCTGACGTCCTGATAAGAATCTGAGGAAGCAAAAGCCAGTCAGATCGTCATATGTCCTGAAGTCTTCCTAAAACACACGTAGCCTCTATGGGAAGCCGTCAGTCCTGCGTCATTTCCCCTCTGGTTAACCCACCGACAAGTCTACAGCAATAATGTGATTTATCTGACAGGCCCGGAGCAAGATTACCTTAATACACTCATCTACAGTTGTCCCAGGTGTGTGCACAGTCAAAGGAGAACTGTTCCTCTTACATTTTTAATGATCTGCCTGACAGCCGGGGAATCAGGAGCATAAAGAATTTTGCCCATCAGGAAAGGCTTGACTGAACTCCACAAAATCCTTGTGACCGGATTGGACTCCATATCCTTCATGAGGTCGTTACAGAACGGAGCTGCGAGAGATACGGAGTTATGAGAAACATGAGAACATTCTCTTCATCGGTCTAAACTAAAGCCTGTGTAAAGTACAGTACTCACTGGCCGTGTGATCGTAGTTGTACTTCCCCTCTCCCCTCGTGCTGTTGATGCCCAAAAATGCTTTGTAGTTGTTATCTTCATACCAGTTGAAGGAGGTGACCCTGGAGAAGGCCCCTTCAGTGTAGCCACAGAACAAGCTGGAGGTGGCGGCCATGAGTTGGCTGAAAGATGGGGTCTCATGGGACTGAAGCAATAGAGAGACCACTTGCAGGAGGTCTTTAGAGCTAGTTCTGTCAAACAGCTGTTGAAAAAAAATGATCAAAATGAATGTGCACTTTTAATTTAGCTTAGAAACAATCAATTTTTAGAATACAGTGGTTCCAATAAAGTATTCAGACAGTTAAATCACATTTAATGCATGAATGTCAATGCGTTACTTATAATATCAAATACCAAACCAAAATGTTTTACATATTGTATATGTCTGTTTTAAAGCACAAGTTTACTTTTCAAGCAAAACCTTTCATAAAAATGTTTGGCACAAAATTGGACAGTCTCAAACTACGCTAAAAAGTATTTGGATACTTTCTGGTTGTCTAACTTAGAACATGGAGAGCATTTCATTTCAGCTGGTTAAAAGTCATGCCACATTTTTGTATTTAATGCAATATAATTCATATTCCACTACTTCCAACTTACAGAACAATAATAATTGTACTAAAATATTTCTGATGTGGCTTGTGCCGAAATCACCGTAATCTGCACCAACAAGGTAAGTACGAATTTCATATCTGTCATGATGGAGTCCAAATCTTTTGACACCAAACTAAAATCCCTGTGGGTGGGAAAGTCCATTATCTTCTAAACTCAAATACATCAAATCCTACAGACACAGGACAGATAATCTGAACCTCTGGGGTCCACAGTACTACGACAGGTGAAGAGAGAGAAAAAACAATGTCTGGGATGTCAGATAACAGAAGTCCATTGATTCATACATATTCCTTCAAACAAAAGCCACCAGGTTCTGTAAAAACACATTTGTTTCCTCATAAGTTAATAAAAAGGGATATTTTTGGAAAACAGGCGACAGTAAAATCCAGGATTTTTTTCATTATGTTGTTGCTCCATCTGGCCCAGAGGTATGGAGAACAGGATGAAAAAAGAATTCGGAAAATGAGTAATTGGCGTCAGGGTCCCTCTTTGTCGGACTCGGGGCGACAGAAAAAAAAAAAGTCCAGCCCCACCAACAGGAAGTCCCTGACTTGTAGAGCTGCAGGCACACTGACACACTTTAACCAGCAGGCATTGACGTATAACATCCGTGCTGCGTTTCCCCCTTTTCAGCAGGGTATAACATGCCCTCAACTGTCAACTAACCACCTTATTTACAATGAATCTGACTGAGCAGTGGCTGTAATTAGCTTTCCGCACACACACCAATGATATCTTCATATCCGTATCCTTGCGTAAAAAGTCAAGCAGAGGAAATTGTGATTTCCTGATCACTAAAAATACAGTTGAACTTTTGTTGGGCCCTGGGGCCCATACGCACCGCTCTCAGCTTCTCAGACACGGCAGGCAGAAGTCGGGCCCAGAAGTGCAGGTCGAGTCCATTGGAGTAGTTATCGAGAACTAGAGGAAGCTGGGAATGAGAGAAAAAGCAGGAAATGAGACCATCAAGGCGAATAGATGTACAGTGCATTCAATACATTAACAGTCCATGGGCCAGATTAGCATGAGAACGCAATACCAAAAAAAGAGTCAATGAGAGTGGAAAGTTATTGCTTGATCTACAGACGACGTGCAAATTAAAGAACACAGACGGATCATTTCCATAATGACCAACGCAATCTACCGAGAGCAGCCCGAATTAGAGACTGGTTTAAGACATGATTTTTAGATCAGTAAATGGAGCCTTAGTAAATCACAAACTCTTACAAATGCATACACTCTCAGAAAAAAAGGTACAAAAGCCGTCACTGGGGCTGTACCTTTTCAAAAGGACATTTTAGGAGCTCATATGTACATTTTAGGTGCTAAAATGGACATTTAGGTGCTAAAATGTACATTTTAGGTGCTATTATGTACATTTTAGGTGCTAATATGGACATTTAGGTGCTAATATGTACATTTTAGGTGCTAATATGGACATTAAGGTGCTAATACATTTTAGGTGCTAATATGGACATTTAGGTGCTATTATGTATATTTTAGGTGCTAATATGGACATTTTAGGTGCTAATATGGACATTTTAGGTGCTCATATGTACATTTTAGGTGCTAATATGGACATTTAGGTGCTTAAATGTACATTTTAGGTGCTATTATGTACATTTTAGGTGCTAATATGTAAATTCTAGGTGCTATTATGTACATTTTAGGTGCTAAATATGTACATTTAGGTGCTAAAATGTACATTTAGGTGCTAATATGTACATTTTAGGTGCTAATATGGATATTTGGTGCTAATATGGACATTTTAGGTGCTATTATGTACATTTTAGGTGCTAATATGTACATGTGGGTGCTAATATGGACATTTAGGTGCTAAAATGTACATTTTAAGGTGCTATTATGTACATTTTAGGTACCAATATGCACCCTTTAGGTACTTTTGAAAAGGTACAGCCCTAGTGACAGCTTTTGTACCTTTTTTTCTGAGAGTGTATGCAATAAGGCCAGCCACACAAATAACCCTGTCCATGCCTTTTCAGAGCAAATTTTAGTGTCGTTAAGTGTCATTAGTAAATACTAACAGTAATTTTTATTAATTAATTTTTTAACACTAAAATAAAGTTTGCGCTAACACAAGCTGTTAGTAAATCTGGCCCTAATGTCAGTTTTTTTGTCAATTGGAAATTTTTGGGAAAGACGATTTTTCAATGTTTTGTTTGCCGACAGACTCGACACCAAGTCACAAAATGTGATCACAAAATGTGACACAAAAGGTAAGTGAGTACAAGTAATAATACTTAAATAGTACTAGGGTGAGTATCCCTTTAAGTAATCAAAATGTTTTTATGGTTTTAGTTTAAAAAAAATAAATTAACAATAATAACACTGGTTTCAGTTACATTTATGTCAAAAATATATGTATAAAATTAAGCTAACATTTTAAACAGTGTCCAAATCATTTTAGCTGAAGCAGCAAATCAGGTTTTGGGAAATGCGTGTATAGCTCACATCCTGTCTTCCGAGATGTAACACTTCCAGAAACAATCTTTCGTCAACAGTATCCAAGCTACTTTACAATGGACCAGGAGGGACCAAGTTCAGGAAATGCCATGTATGTGTGTCACAGGAGCAACCCCAAATATGAGACATCCTTCCTATCAGCGTCTCAATCCATCTCTAAAGCTAAAAGTGACTTATGACATGTTCATATGGATCCATATGACTGAGAATTAGAGTCATTATACTTTATATTATAACAGTGTTCAAGTGTAACGTGATGATAACAACACATGTGGCTTTGGATTGTCAAAAGTGTCAAAGCAAATGAATAAACATTAATGTGTTTATGTATCTGTTCAGAGGGGGAAGCTTGGATAAAGTAGTCTTTAGTACAGTCTATCAGAATTATTATTCAAAGCTCTCATAGGTTTCAGTCCAGCAGAGGTGTGTTTACTGTAATCTAATTAGTGAAATAGGACAAGACAGTCCCCTTCACTAACACTGATCGGGTGACTCAGGCTAATGCCCCTCTGTCGTGTACCCACGCTCATTTAGAAACCATAAACTACCAAGAACAACCAGGAAGGGTGTGTGGGGGGTTACTAACTCTGCAAACATTTAAGAGCTATTATCATACAGGAAGTACAAAAACATGCTGTTGGTATAATCAATCAGTAATCATACTTTGTTCAGTTTCACTTACAAATGATTCAATTTGGAGTAAAGAAATTATAATGAAATGCTATAATCAATCTTTTTTTCAGTTTCACTTACAAATGAATGCACTTTAAATAATGAAATGATAATAAAAATGAAATCAAAAAGGGTGGGAAAATACAAAAAATACTGTTTGAATATGGGTTCCTATTCTTTTATAAATAAGCTTACGCTGAATATTTTATTCTTATTATAAATGTAGCCCTAAATGATCCCCATCAGGCTTCTTATTTATTTTAACCAGGCCAAAATATCCTAGCTCAACCATCTTTCTCAGCTTTTTTTTTTTTTTTTCTGGTAATCAACAATCTAGACCAGCCAAGACCTACATGGAAATTCATGCAGGCTTAGGGGCTTTTCACACAGAACATGTTTTTGCATTTCACTATGCTGCTTTTCCATTCTTTTTCTACATAAGCATCCACTAGACTAGACAAACATGTTTGCGATCTCATGTCGTGCGCCTTTCACAGTGCCTCGTGCATGATATGTGAAATCTAAAAATGCAATGCTCAAATTAATTAATTAAAATTTACACATTTTTTAAGACAAAACTGATGAAAATTTGGTCATCATTCAAAACCTCTTTTGGAACACAAAAGAAGATATTTTGAAGAACGTTGATAACCAAACAGTTTGGGTTGCCATTGACTTTCATTGTAATTTTTTTGTCCATAAAGTCAATGGCAACCCAAATTGTTTTTTTAACTGACAGGAACGTTAAAGGGATACTCCACTTTTTCTTGGAAATAGGCTCATTTTACAACTCCCTCAGAGTTAAACAGTCAGGTTTTACCGTTTTCTAATCCATTCAGCCGATTTTCTGATATTTATAAGAATATCAGTAACCAGACATTTTCTGGTCCCATTGACTTCCATAGTATATATTTTTTCCTACTATAGAAGTCAACGGGACCAGAAACTGTCTGGTTACTGATATTCTTCTAAATATCAGAAAATCAGCTGAATGGATTCGAAAATGGTAAAACTCAACTCTAAAACTCTGCGGGAGTTGTAAAATGAGCCTATTTCCAAGAAAAAAATAAGTGGAGTATCCCTTTAAAAACATTCCTTAAAATATCTTCTTTTGTATTCCACAGAAGAAAACTGGTTTGGAATGACAACGGTAAGCAAATGATGACAGAATTTAAATTTTGGAGTGGACTATCTCTTTAAGCTGGTCTTTTAGGTGTTGGCTAAACTACATTCTGAACCATATTGTTGCTTCCACCCAAAACACGAGCTGATTTGACTTCCCTCATAGTTGGCATAGCTATCTGTGTCAGCACTTCCTCTACACCCAAACCCATTTCCAACATTTAAAGATGATATTATTGATTTTATTGAGTGTATGAGTAGACTGACCAAGCGGAAAAGTTTGAAGAAGTCGAGGTTAGCATAGAATTTGTCCTCAATGATCTGAAGACGCTGTGGCGTGAGAACGCACATGGCATTGCGCACAGTATACAGGCCCCAACGGCTCGGGAAAATAAGGAAACGCTCAAGAAGAGTCTGACTGCAGGCGATGTCCTTCAGATGGAGATCAGGAACTCCGTATGCAAACTGAGAGAGACAGACAGGGAAAAACAGAATGAAAAGATTAGGAGTTGAGGGCAGTTAATGCTGTGTTAGTCTGAGCCCGACTTAAACATTTAGCAGTAGTAAAATATTTCTGGAAATAGATAAAAATAGATTGTTAGAGTGATCATGTACAGTATCAGTCGGTGATTGATATAGAACATATCAAAACTGCAACATAAATCAGTTTTGTTGCTGCAATGTTTTATTAGTGTTGTTTTAGCACATGGACACAAGACACTAGCACCAATAACACTGAAAAAGAGAAATCAATGCTATTTTTGTTTTACCATCAAGTATTTCTTTAAGTTAGGTTGAGATTTTTACTAGCTAAAGTTGCTATGCTAACCCACTATAAAGACATTAGCATTAGCGTTAGCGTTAAATGTGACAATACGATTTGTATGAAAAAATACTGGTTTATTTATCATTTTAATACATTTTTAATGAGTGCTTTGATTACACAAATCACTCAAATAGACTAATGATACTTTATTTAGCTAATGTTATCTAAATTAGCACAATTCACAGTATTGATCAGTAAAACAAAAATAGTAAATTAAATATTTAAAAAGATATACAAATGCATGAGCAACAAAAGACACAATGTGTTTTACCATTAGGTTAAAAAATGTGCAAATATTCCTCTCATAGTGTACAACATGCACAGGTTAAAAGCCAAAACAACACATGCAGACGCAGATAGTCAGCCAAACTCAACCTGTACTCAACCTTCGTCAAACACCACCAGGTTCCCCATGGAATAGCATTTCAACTCAAGGAAGGGGCACAAAAGAGGATGGCAACAAAATCGGAGGAAATCATTAACATCCAAGACATCCTGGATCAGCTTTAACCATCAGCTTAAATCACAAGAAACACTTCTGAGGTGTTGCTGCCTGCTATCACTAGACAATACAACATCTGGCTATTTATATAATGACATATAATAGTACAACATAGTTAAATTATCTGCATGTGTGTAAACTATAGATATCACATATTTGATTTACTGTATGTGACATATTGTAAATAATTTGAATAAAAATAAAATTATATCATTCAAAGGTTTGGGAAATGGAGTGTTTTTATTAATGTTTTTATTTAGGATGCATTAAATTGATCAAAAGTAGAGTAAATACATTTACAATATACTCTAGTATAGTGCTACAAAAATATTTGTTTTAAAAAAATGCTGTCGGTGCACTTTCTATTCATCACAGAATCCTTAAAAAAAAGTTTCACAGTTTCCACAAAAATATTAAGTAGCGCAACCATCTCCTTCATACTTGTTTCTATTCTTATATTGAATTCATTTGTCTGCAACTTTTTCCATAAACATGAAGGGAAAAAACAATGGTGACTTGTACAGTATCGACAGTATGTACAAGCAGCCAACAACAATATTCAGACATTATAAACAACTTCACTGCATGCGAAGTCAAATACTTCCCTACTACGAAAAACAGTATGCCAAAAGAGTAGTGTGTCTGAATACATATATTCAAATAGAGTAGGCGAATAATACGGCCGAGATTCTGAAGTGTGCATTTGATGGATCCCATGAGGCTGTGGGAGAGGATTTATGATGACAGAAACAAAATGGCGGATGTAGTACGTCCAAATTTCATTCATAATACCTATTTTCATTAACGTTGACAAAGTAAATTCACATTCAAATGTAGTACCTACTCAGTACCCGAATTTGTACACAGCTCTTGTGTGTCTTTGCCTCAACAATGGGCTACACACTTGGATGAAACATACATGTAGATGCAATCCATGGCTCAGAACCAGTGCGCAAGAAAACCCTACTGGAAAACCTCCAGCTCAATGCATCCTCTCTAAGCAGCTTCCTCTCTCTTTCCCCATTTCATTGGTAGCTAAAGACTTATCCAACCAGGACATTCCATCTTCTTCTGTACGCCCCTGCTGGCTGACTGGCAGCACCTCTGAGAAAGCCTTCAAAATGCCTCACATTCCTCTCCGTTACATTTCCATATGAAAGTGACTCGGACCCTGATGTTCTTGTGTTCGTGCAATCACTTCCTCTAGACCTGCTCTTCTCTTTGTCCACATCGCTGCCCTCAAGATCAAAGGAGACAGGGTCTCGTGCAAATCAACATCGGTGCTTTGTTCTCACTGGAAAATAAACCCACAAAGAATCTCGGGGCAGGGTAACATGGGGGCGAGGTTCAGCCAGAACCGTCCTGCCTTGGGTTGGGGGTCTGATTACTCACAGGGCCCTGGGATGACAAATATATACATCACAAAAGGTCTGTACAGAGAGCTGAGAAACCCAAACATGCAGTCTGATGCTGAACAAACGGGCACTTGAGAAGCGGCCAAGATTCTCTCAGTCTCAAACAGAGACATTCAAAACCACCAACAAAGCAGCAGAGAAAGCAGATGACGTTTTGTCTCTGCAGCGAAATCAATTTACGTATCATTCACGATTAAATTAGACAATGACAAAAAAAACAAAAAGGACGGTTCGGGTTAGTGACCTCTCTGAGTTTTGGAGGCTTCAAGCTGAACCTGTAGCTATAATGTAAATAGATGCAAAGATATTCTGTCAGTTACAGATTAAAATGACTATTTTCATATTGTACGCAGTAAATGGATGATTTTTATATATTTTTATATTTAAAAACAAAACTCGAAAAACTAAAATGAAACGTTACTGTTATTACTAAAATAGACTGCTACAAGTGTATTTAGGCATCACAGCATTATAATGTACATGAAAAATTGATATATTTTTATTTTTAAAATTTGATAAAAAAAAATACATTTAACATTGTTATTAAACTATAAGTGTTTTTAAGATTGAAGTTGAAATGAGCATGCTTTTATAAATAAAGAAATCTCTAATATCACCCATAACTAATATGGTTTTAATATATCGTCCATTTCTAGAGCCAATTTCAATTATAATGGCCTAAATGTGACTTTTTTACTCATTTTACATGCAAAAAGCCTAAGCAATTTTATTACATACTCCACTGGAATATTTCATTCTAATGGATATTTAAGTCTTAAAGGTACAGTAGCAAAAATAGTTTAATTCTAAGGGAAATAAATCAAATTCTTTAAGAGTTTTTTGTCTTTTCTTTTCTGGAAAGAATGTCTTGTTTCCAAAAAAAAAAGAGTCTAAAAACACTAACAAAATGTATTTACTTGATGGGTAACGTAGCAAAGATTAAGACTTTTTTTAAGATTGTGTTTTTAATATAAGTGCAAACAAGTAAAAAACTAAACTAATATTATATTGTTTTTTCTCAAGTAAACTTATCCTCTTTTATTTATTTTTTTAAATGTAACCTGGAAAACAATTTTAAAAAAGTAATTAAAAAGTTATTGAAAGTAATTAATCACGATTAATCGCATACAGAAATAAAAGTTTGTGTTTACATATATTATATTGCATATATTATGTAAACATTATCTTTTATTTTGGACGCGATTAATCGCGATTAATAATTTGACAGCCCTACTTAAAACGCATGCTGTATTTAAATGGACACATAAAAAAGTAAATCACAAATGATTCAAATGACATTTCTGGATCATAGCAGTCCAACGCAGTTTACCTGTTCAGGTCGGATCTGTGAATGAACCAGCTGATGCACCACAGATTCTGTTAGAGGAACATCTCTGAGCAGGTATGAAGTGAGAGTTTCGTCATCCTTCAAAATGTCCTCCACTTTCACGCCTCGACCTGCACACAAAGTGAACAAAATGTGTGAGAACAGGATTCCAGAGTGAAGAATTTCAATAGGATGAAAGGAATGTAGCACTTCAACACTTAAGAGATGCTCAGCTGGGAGGATTTCAGCAGCATGACTATCATTCTAATGAGATGAACAGATAAAAAAAAACAGCTCTGGTATGCCAGGCATCCATGACCTACTGAAACACAGCCAATATATCGCTCCGTTTATGCTTATTTTTGATAGAAAGTGTAAAGAGAATGTGATAGAGGAGAGAGAATCCGACACGAATCAGTGTCAGGAAACTAGATGAGCCAGAGAGAGACCATTTCACAGCAGGACACAAAAAACAAGTCATGGGTCTTTTTGGTCAAGGGCCACGAAGCTATTAGCACTTTGAACGCGAACTGTTGCACGAAGGATTAAGCTTAAGACAGGTTCTTCTGCCAGGAACCAAAAGATCATTCATTCCTGCCCTCGCCATAATTCACTGGACAATTATTCAGTCAATCACCAGAGAACAATCAATCACATTCCACTGAAGGCCATGGACATTTGTTTTTCTAGCGAGGACAGGCCAATTAAAGCTTTCAGCGAAGGAATGCCAGACTCAAACCCAGACAACTTCTAGAGGTAAACAAATGGAAGTGCTTTCTCTAAAAATAATAGTATGGAAGGAGCGTAAGCTTCTTAGCATTCCCCATGAAAGGACCTCTTCTAGGCAGATTGAGCATGTGATGTAATCTGAGAGAGCGGCGTAAACAGTGAAGCAATGGCTGGGAAGCCGAGGTGACGTGAGGTTAGCTGACCTGCGATCAGTTCTGGATTGGTTCGGAGAGTGTCCATGAAGTTGCTCATGGCCATGAGTTCTCGCCATAGCCGTCCCAGCTGGAGGAACTCTGTATCTTCAAACAGCAGCTCCTGCGCGTCCATCCAAAACCGAGCCAGTCTGAACAGAGAGGGGTGCGTGTGTATTGGAGCAATACATCTGCATCATTTGCACATGAAACAAATCAACTCACATTGAGTTGTTGTAGTTGGACACCAGGCCTAGAGACTCCCCACGGGTTGAGTGCTGGAAACAGGGGTTATTGGCGTTGCAGAAGATCCCTTGGATCCATGGAAGGATGCCAGTGGAGGGCATGGCTTTGTTTGGAAAATGACCTGAGATGGAGCAAACTGGTCATTAATGCCAACAAATGAACATCAAACATCACCCAACATCAGTGAGAACAGTTGCTTTTTGAATGTGACTAGAAATACTGTAATACAGAAGAAAAAAAAAAGAATTATTATTGTCATATATATAATATTATCTATTACTTTTGCACACAATATACTTCTTTTACTAACGTATATACAGAGTATTTTTTTATTTAAATAGTTTTTTTTTTAATGAAAATAAAATGTTTAAAAATATATTTAATTACAAACTGTTTTAAACATCTTCAAGCATCCATACATTCATGTTGGCGGTAAAGAGGGTTCGCTCTTCTTAGCCAAACCAGTCCAATGAATAGCACCACAGGCCACATAATCTCCATAAAGAGCCGTGGCTGGGGTTAAAACACAGGAAAATTCATTAGAAAGGCTCAAGAAGAAATGCAGACAAAGAACATCTATCCTATACAGATCCTACAGTAAATATACAAAACTTTTGAGCTGGCTATATTAGTCAGATGAAGTTGTTCAGGTCCTAGATCAAATCTTAAAGGAGTAGTTCACTTTAAAAAAAAACTTTTGCTGATAATTTACTCACCCCCATATCATCCAAAATAGCCATGTCTTTCTTTCTGCGGTTTTTGATGAAAACATTCCAGGATTTTTTTCAACGAACGAAATGAACGAATTGACTTGGAAAAAAGATTCGTTGGAGAAAAGATTCGATAGAGAATGAACAAATCTTTTTACAAGTCAATTCGTTCATTTCGTTCGTTGAATGAACGAAATGACACGAAAAAAGATTCATTCATTTTGATAAACGAGCAAGGCGACCATTTGAGCTTATAAAACTTAAACTTTGTTATTATTTTTTTTTAAATGAGCGATCGTTTCGCTTGATAAGACCCTTATTCATCGTCTGAAATCGTCTGAAATCTTTGAACAGTTTGCAGTTTGAACTGAAACTGTCTTTTAGACCTTGAACTGTTTGGTTACCAGTAAAGTGCATTAAGTGTGTTTAAGTAAAGTGTTTTCATCAAAAACCTTCATTTCTTTTCGACTGAAGAAAGGGGTGAGTAAATTATCAACAAAAGTTTTTTTTTTTTTTTTGAAGTAAACTACTCCTTTAACCCATATTGATTGCATAACATGACTGGAATTTCCTTTTGTGGAGTTAAATGTAGTAATTTCCTGCTGCATATAGTGAAGGGACAAGCTGATCACCTTCTGCCTCTTTCGGATAGTCCAGTTTTTCCAGAGGAGCAGCCGCAATTGGCTGTTGGTTCCCATGACTGCTGCTCTTCACCCTAACAGGGGTCACTTACAGGTGACCTACCTGGACAAAACAACAAAAGTAAATACACATATTATCTCCCTCAGATGTTTATAAGTCTGATTAATGCAACACATAGGTTTGATAATCCAGTCTAAGAATCCATATACGACTTAAAGCATTTAGCTGCTGGTGCCAAAGGAGTTTTACAGAAAATAGTGGCTTGTAAGCAAAACAAAGGCAGCCAGTGAAGATGAGCAAGAAAACAAAGCAGCTAACTTAGCTATACTCTTTCGGTCTTCAACCCCTCAGAAAAGTACAATATAAAAGTTGTCTAAACCAGAAGACCAGTCGTGAGTCATAATGAGACAATAAATGATTTGTGTGGGCTGTTATACAGCTCAGCATATTAGAGACAAACACGGTGCTCTTGCGTAACGGGCCTGCATGCTCCTTATGCAACACTCAATAACCATTCATCCGGAAATGTCTAAAGGACACACGCAAAACATAATTAAACAGAAATAACTCACCTCAGGAGAAGAAGGCTCTTTTACGCTTGCGTCTGCTGAAGCTCATGGCCGTCTTCACTCGACTGACTGTAGGCTTGCTGCAGACGCTAAGCAGGTTTGTAATCTGATTGATTTAAGCTCCTTTCACCAGTGTGAGAGCCGATGCTCTGAGCCCAAGCTATGCTGTGTGAGACCTGTGACCTTACTAACAGTAATTGGTGATGAATAGGAACCCAAATACATTTTCATTTACTAAGAGTACATGCGTATACTGCCCAGCCCCCCCAAAAAGTCGATTCCAGACGACGGATAAGGGTCTTATCAAGGGAAACGGTCGCTCATTTAAAAAATATAACAAAGTTTAAGTTTTATATTAAAGCTCAAATGGTCGCCTTGCTCTGTTCTGTGATGCGCGTTCGTGTCGTGACTCTCCTGTTCAAACTCGTTCATCAAAATAAACGAATCTTTTCCTGAGTCAATTCGTTCATTTCGTTTGTTGAATGAACCAAATGACACGAAAAAAGATTTGTTCATTTTGATAAACGAGTTCCAACAGGAGAGTCACCAACGCGCATCACAGAACAGAGCAAGACGAGCGTTTGTGCCTATAAAACTTAAACTTTGTTGTTGTTGTTTTTTTTTTTTTTTTTAAATGAGCAATCTTTCTTTTCGCTACGACCCGCATTCATCATCTGGAATCGTTTAAAGCTCTTTATACAGTTTGCAGTTTGCACTGAAACGGTCTTTTGGACCTTGAACCGTTTGGTTACCATTTAAGTCCATTATATGGAGGAAAATCCTGGAATGTTTTCATCAAAAACCTTCATTTCTTTTCGACTGAAGAAAGAAAGATGGACATCTTGGATGGCATATGGGTGTGAAATTATCAGCAAAAGTTTTTTTTAAAAGTGAACTACTCCTTTAAAAGTCTATGATTGTATCATTATTGCAGTGATTATTATGTTTATAGCATAGTTATATTTTTTGGCAACTTTTCTTCTAATCTGAATTAATAGATTGAATCATTTCTTGAACGATCATGTAGGAAGACACATCATGACTATATTCCAGGATGACACTGTTGAGATTCATTAGGCTCAAATTGTGAAAAAATGGTTGGGTGGGAGCATGAATAATCATTTTTTACACATGAATTGGCACCTCTGAGTCCAGACCTTGAATTCATTTAAAGTTTTTGGAATGTGCTGGATGATTGTCAATACAAGATCTTGACCAAAAATTGATGCACCTCTAGATGGAAATAAATGTTGTGATGTTTTTTTTTTTCTCCTAAGCATTTGCCTAAATTTTTTGGAGGGCTGAGTAGTGTACTAGTGGAGACCAGGTCTAGTTGTTACAAATTTACGCCAGTGAATGTATCAACTATTTCTGTATAAACACATACCTTAAAGTCTGGCTACAAAAAAACAAAAAACAAACAAAAAAAATCTATTGGACATTTTCATCGTCACTGCACAGGAAAAAAGTTCAGTAAACAAACATCAATCTTTCGTGACAACATGCCCCAATGGTGCACACAATGGCGGAAACTTCCCTCCTGCAAATTAATGCAGTCACAAAATGTTTCAATGTTGCCTCAGTTTAGTATTAGCATTTTAAAAACTTAGCTGTACATAATTAAAATTAGCAAACAATTTTTTATTATGCCTAACATAGCTATTTATATCAAGATGCACCACCATCATATTAAATGAGGTTAAAACAACCAATAATAAGTGATGATAATTTTTAAACAATTCCTTATGTTACAATAGTCATTCCACCATAACCTTTCTTTCTTCTTAAATTATTATATATAAATTTGATTGCATTTATGGATGGGGCTTGAAAAACATATTTCTATGCACACATAATGAGGATAACACATTCTGAGAGGTACATCAGAACAATTTAAAGTAAAAACATAAACTCAAATATGACATCAGCTGTGGTTTTAATAAGTTACAAGTGTGTATTCTCACATGTACCTGTTTTTACACTTGAGGGAAGGTAAGACATCTTGAAAATGCTGTTAAAGGAATCAGTTTATACAGTATAATCACATCAGATACATGGGTGCCATTTATAAAAGCCACTGATTGAGTGTTAAACTGGTAAATGTAGTTTAGACCAGCTAATTTGTGTTGGACAACCAGTCAGTGGACTCTCATAAATGAAGGCACTTGTTTTGGCTTGACTTGCTTGTTTTGGGTATACTGACATTTAAGTTGTTGTTGATATGACCATTAAAAAAAAAAAAATAAGAAAAAGGAAACTTTGGGCAAACTATTACAATTTGTTTTGTACACTTAATAGAATGTGGGCCAAATTGCATTTCTGAAAGCTCTCTATGAATAGACATAAACAATAATTAATATCAGCATTTTTTGTTTTAAAAAAAGACAAAAGACAAAACAAGACAAAAAAGAAAATACCTTTGCACACTTTAACCTACATCTCTCAGACAGGTCAGATTACATCCGTCTGTTGTTCTTGAAAAACAAAATTAACACTGCATGTAGTTCAGTAGCGTGAAATGTGTGGTTCCAAAGTCTAATAAGTGCATTTTATGATTATAATAAAGTGACGATACTCAACTGTAACAGCTTGGTCATTTTGGTTTTGGTGTAAAACATAAAAATACAGAAATATACAGAATATATATATATTTATATATCTTTTAACAACAAAAAAATCAATATACAGTGTAAATGAAATTGCACGATGACAGTGACACTCTGGTGTTATAATGCAAAAACGGGTTGTTTTGACTTTGTGCATAAGTGATGCGATAAAGTTAAAAAAAACGTTAAGTGCATACTGTGTAAATTCTTGTCCAAGTGGTTTGTTTGATTATTACAAACAGCAGATGCACAATATATTAATATATAGATATATACCATGTCCTTGCATCTCTTCACAGTTATGGAAAACCTTTCCACATACACAAAACGGGGCCGTTGCTAAAATTCACAGGTCCGAGACAAAATCGTAAAAAGACGGTGACCTCGTCCCGGTTGTCAACAGTTCTGTCTAGATCTCAAACAAAATGTGCCTCCCTGTGTTCGAGATCCTGCATACGGTGTGATCTGAGTCTCTGGTACACGGGTTTGGTCTCGTTTTGTCCGAGTTCCTCCAGGCCTGAGCCGGGAGACTGAGGAAGCAAAAGTGGGAGGGCATCCAGCACTGGTGATGGTTCTGGATCCAAATCTGTCTCAGGTTCATCAACCGAGACTTCCACCCCAAACCCTTCCTCCTCGTCATCGTCATCCTCCTCTTCTTCCTCGGTGCTGTTTGCGGTCGCTCTACTAGACTTAAGCTCGACCTCCGTTAATGTTTTGGTTTTGCTACCTGGAGGTTTGTAGAACGTTCCAGGAGGAGGTTGCAGAGTTCTAGGAGGCCTGAAGGCTGTGGGAACGGGGCAGTACTCGCTAACGTTCCCTTCCCTACGTAAAGTCCGTCCAGGCCTCACGGCAATGGTGTAGGGTCTGTTTGCAAGAGCAGTGCTGACGGTTTTGGTTTGTTCGGAAAAAGACGATGACGTGAGGGAAGAAGAGTGAACGTCGGCATCATTGGTCCCGGAATCAGAAGGATAGGTGGTTGTCATCACAAAGGTCTTTGGAGTGATGTCGTGATGCTTATACTGCTTGTCCCATGTCCGCCGTAGGGTTTGAGTATCGATGTAAGATTTCCTGTAATGGTTTCCCGCTCTGGACTTGGACTTGGGCTTCTCCTCTTCGGACACCTCCTCGATGACGGGATCACGAGCGTGGTTGTCCCCCTGCTCTACGGAGTTCTTCACGTTACATTCGTCCACCTTGGCGAGGTTGAGGAGCCGCTCGGCCGGCATGCTGATCGGTCGAGAGGCCAGCTTGGGTCTCGGTGGCCGAAGCTGAACTCTGGAGACGTGGTTGCGGCGGCTGAGGCCGGGCGAGTTCCTCATTTCAGGAACGCTTGATGAGAGGTGTCTGTTGATGTCCACCGTATCACCAACTGCATGCAAAGACGAAGAGAGAGAGAAGTAGAAGCTTTCGTCGTATGACAATACGTCACTTTATGTTTTTTTTTAGCAATGTAAAACAATACTGACCTGCAGAAAAGTCTTTGTCAGAACTTATCTTCACCTCATCAATCAAGTGAGTAGAAGGTATTACAGAGGAATGCCTTTTATATGCCTTAGCCTTTGACTGTTGCTGCTTTGACAAATGAAACAAAGATGGAAAAATTAAAGAAGATACTGTTTAGGTTGAATAAGGTTTGGTTCGATCTATTCTCTGATTGGTGGACCCAACACAAAAACCCCAACTATTACTGGTCAAAACAGTTCAAACCAAATAAACTACCATCTTGACCAGGTAGTGACTAGTTTGGGCCAGAAGTTGGTTTCTGATTTTGATTATATTGAAATGAACAATTTTTTTACCCATTATTATAATCAACATCAAAAACGTCAACAAACCGCCTCACCTCCTTAATATCCACCATGGACTTTGAATGTCGGCTAAGCTGTTGATGCTTTTCCTGTGAGGTGAGACGTGATTTGATGGGGAGCGGAGAGCTCTCGGCTACAGGGGAGGAAGGAGGAAGAGGACTCAGAGGAGTATCGAAGATCATCTCGTAATGGCGGATCAAAAGCTCCACGATCAGGGCCTGGTAGGGGTAATCTACCAGAGAGGACAGAGAGACCTCGGCATCGGCCTGTCGGGGCTTGATCAGGGTCGGCCCAAAGATGATGCCCAGATTACTGGCAGTCATCTTGTTCTCATCTGCCCTTTCTGACACCCTATTAGAAAGAAAAATGTGATTACAAACTGTGATGCAGTTTTCTTCTATATTCTAATTAAAGGGATAGTTCACTTTGAAATCAATTTTTGATATGTTTTAGCTTACCTCAAGGGCATCCAAGATGTAGGTGTCTTTGTTTCCACAGTATTTTCAATTTTGGTATTTTTAGGTCAAACCGGTGTTGTCTATCAGTCATATAATGGAGGTTTAGGGGGTCCACCTCAAAGAGCATGCACAGAGAAGTCCAAATTAAACATGATTTAATGACTCGTAAATGTAAGTTCACATTGATGGCCTAAGACACAAAACGAGCGGTTTGTGTGAGAAAACTAACAGTATTTCTATTGTTTTTACCACTTGTAACCACAGTCACGTCCAAGCAGGCCGAAGCGCCTGTGCCTTCAGATCACTTGGACATGGCTGTTACCTCTTACAAGAGATAAAAAACGATATAAATACTGTTCGTTTTCTCACACAAACCACTCGTTTCGTGTCTTAGGCCATCAATACTTACATTTACGAGTCATTAAATCATGTTTAATTTGGACTTCTCTGTGCATACTCTTTGAGGTGGTGACCATAGACCTGCATTATATGACTGATAGACAAGAACAGTTTGAACTAAAAATATCCAAATTGAAAATACTGTGGAAACAAAGACACCTACATCTTGGATGCCCTTGAGGTAAGCTAAAACATACCAAAAGTTAATTTCAAAGTGAACTATCCCTTTAAAACATATACTCATTAAAACACCTGTGTAAGTGTTGAACAAGGAACTGTAGGGTTTTGTAGTGGGCTGGAGGAAGCTGACGCAGCAGGTCTTTAATCTTGAAGAGGACTCGGTTGAGCTCTACGCTGATCTGCCGGTTGTCGGATGCGGGACTTCCTCTTGACGCCTCTACTTCATCAACAATGATACTCTGACTCTCTTTGGCCAATCCGATGAAGTCGTTATAGTATCGGAAAAGAATGAGGGGCTCTGGGAGCTGAGGGGTATAAAATGATCATTTTTATTACACAAAGTTATACATCTATTTTTATTTTATTTTAGGAATGGGTAAATAAATACAATTTTATTAAATTAAATAAAATTAAATAAATTTCATTACATTTAAAATACTGAAATAGGGCAGAAAATGCTTTTGCAGGGCAAATGTTTCTTAAATAATTTTGCTTAATCATTGATAATAATAAATAAGGGAAAAAAAGTCACAAAAACATGTAATGCATTTTTAAATGTATTAAAGAAGTAGTTAACTTTTTAAAAAAACTTTTGCTGATAATTTATGGTTATATGATTCAAAATAAATTAAGGTTTTTGATGAAAACATTCCAGGATTTTCTCCATATAATGGACTTCATTGGGAACCAAACGGTTCAAGGCCTCTTGGATGACATGAGGGTGAGTAAATTATCAGGAAAAGTTTTTTTTTTAAAGTGAACTACTCCTTTAAGTTGCATTTAAAAAATAAAATTTTGACATATACCTGGCGTAGGTAGAGTTTGAGGACATTGCTGATATCGTGAGGGTAGAGATCCGAAAGCTCAACCAGGTCTTTGCCATTTTCAAATGCCTGACAAAGCTTCTCCACCCGTGATTTGGCACCGTTAACGCGATAAATTCCCTTTAAAAAATACAACAAAACATCCCCTTTCAGTCTCCCTCAGCATTTACATTTCATATCCTCCTGGAAATACATAAGGCATAGAGAGGAAGTACACACCTTGATATTCAGAGCCCTGTTTTCGATCTCCGACGAGCATTTTTTGATGATGAAGGGGATTCCATCATGACTGTTCTTGGCTGCCTGAGCAAAGTCGATAGCAAAGAGATGAAGTTTTCCCTGTAGCTTCTTATGCCCACACTGGATGGCTAGAGTCTCCAAACACTTCTTATGACAAGCGAGAGAACACTGAAAATAACACAAGAATGAAGATTATTACATAATTAAATTCCTATGGTGCAGATTCAAAAGTTATTAAGTCATGAAATTCCATTTGCAACACAAAAACATTCAATTTTGAATTTTACATTTTACATTTTACAAAAATGACTTGTATGCAATCAGCTCAATGAGTGTGTTCATTTAAAACTCACCTCCTCGCATTCAGCACCGTGAAATACCACAAGACTTTCACACTCCCGGCACTTGGATGGAGCACGGAGCTTCCTCAGCTTGTGCGTCTGTGCCGCTTTAGACATCTGTGTGTTGCGAAAAGGTCCAGGAGAGCTGGCTGCCTCTGTAACCATTTCACTCAAACCTAAGAGACAAATGTTCACAGTCTTTGTTTTTGCTCTGTTCATTCAAAAGATTTTGAAAAATGTTTCCAACAATAATTATAGCACACTCTTAACATGCTTGGACTACATTCTGAACATTGTCCGTCTGTTACAGTATAAAGAAAAAAATATTTGCGCAATGTCAAACAGCATGTTTGGAAGTGTTGTTCAATGTACAAAAGTTCACCATTATCTGAAGGAGATGGTGGTTCTCTCTCATCCAGATCATCTGCTGAAGACATGGTGCCTGTGGATGGGGTCCTGGGAAGCCTTCTCTTAAAATCACCTGGAAAATGGCACAGTGGTTTCAACACTACATGTTTATGCTTACAATCAATACAAAATCATATACAGATGATGCACTACTATTCAAAAGTTTAGGGGTGGTATTATTCTTAAATCTTTTTTACGTATGCTCACCAAGGATGCATTTATTTGATCAAAAATACAGTAAAAATTGTCAAATATTATTTCTATTTTAATATATTTTAAAGTATAATTTATTCCTGTGATGGCAAAGCTGAATTTTCATCATCATTACTCCAGTATTCAGTGTCATATGATCCTTCAGAAATCACTCTAATATGCTAATTTGGTGCTTAAGAAACATTCCTTATTATCATCAATGTTTAAAACATACTGCTTAAATAGTGGAAACCATGATACTTTTATCAGGATTCTTTGATGAATAGAAAGTTAAAGACACAGCATTTATTTAAAATAGAAACAGCGTAATAATAAATGTCTTTCCTGTCACTTTTGATCTATTTAATGCATCATTGCTCAATAAAACAAAATGTTACGGACCCCAAACGTTTTGAAAAGTACATGCACTGTAAGCGCCACATGGCATTCTGGGTAATTTTGCAACACAGAGCATGACTGGTCTGTTCATTATGTTCACATCACTATGCTACACACTCATGACAAAACACCTGTCAATCAAGTGTATTTATTTGCCTCAAGCAAAGAGAGATTTATAAGCGTGACTGTCGCTGTACCTGGGCTTGCCGTAGGGGAGTCCATAGAGCGAGATTCACTGCTTCCTCCAGCGCTCTCAGAGTCACTGCACATGCCTCCACCCTGACTGCTGCTCCTCCAGACCCGGAACGGACCCTGGATCCTCAGAGCTACCAAACACGACATGACATTCAGAAACTTTGATCTGAATAGTACACATGTTCTATTTTGATGTACATGTCTATCCTTGTGTTTGACTATATAACATGGTAAATAAGTGACTGACTAATGAACAAATGACTCTTATGAACCAGTACTTTTTAGTCAATCATAACCATATAGTGTACCAGTGTAGCCCGATTACTGAAACAAATCACTCTTACGAACTGGATTTTTAGAGAATCATAACAATAGAGTTTAGTCTAGTCCAATTACAGAAACAAATGACTCTTATGAACCGGTTCATTTTAGTGAATCATATAACCAGACAGTGTACCAGTGTAGCTTGATTACTGAAACAAATCACTCTTACAAACTGGTTCTTTTTAGTGAATCATAACAATAGAGTTTAGTCTAGTCCAATTGCAGAAACAAATGACTCTTATTAACCGGTTCATTTTAGTGAATCATATAACCATAGACTACCAGTGTAGCCCGATTACTGAAACAAATCACTCTTACAAACTGGTTCTTTTTAGTGAATCATAACAATAGAGTTTAGTCTAGTCCAATTCCAGAAACAAATGACTCTTATGAACCGGTTCATTTTAGTGAATCATATAACCATATAGACTACCAGTGTAGCCCGATTACTGAAACAAATCACTCTTACAAACTGGTTCTTTTTAGTGAATCATAACAATAGAGTTTAGTCTAGTCCAATTCCAGAAACAAATGACTCTTATGAACCGGTTCATTTTAGTGAATCATATAACCATATAGACTACCAGTGTAGCCCGATTACTGAAACAAATCACTCTTACAAACTGGTTCTTTTTAGTGAATCATAACAATAGAGTTTAGTCTAGTCCAATTCCAGAAACAAATGACTCTTATGAACCGGTTCATTTTAGTGAATCATATAACCATATAGACTACCAGTGTAGCCCGATTACTGAAACAAATCACTCTTACAAACTGGTTCTTTTTAGTGAATCATAACAATAGAGTTTAGTCTAGTCCAATTCCAGAAACAAATGACTCTTATGAACCGGTTCATTTTAGTGAATCATATAACCATACAGTGTACCAGTGTAGCCCGATTACTGAAACAAATCACTCTTACGAACTGGATTTTTAGTGAATCATAACAATAGAGTTTAGTCTAATTCCAGAAACAAATGACTCTTATGAACCGGTTCATTTTAGTAAATCACATAACCATATAGTCTACCAGTGTAGCCTGATTCCTGAAACAAAATACTCTTATGAACCAGTTATTTACAGTGAATCGAAACTATTTAATGTACCGATGTAGCCTGATTCCCAAAACACGACTCTTATGAGCCGGTTCTTTTAATTAATAGCTTTAATTAAAGTTACCAGGTAAAATTTACAAGGTTAGCATAGAGAAAATTACCATCACATGTACTTTATGCAAAATGGACATTATAACTGAAATATATCAAATTTAATCAATTTGAATACCTTAATAAAAAATAGTATAAAATAAAAGAAATGTTGTTTTAAGAAATTGGAAATAAGAGTCAAGAACATCACAGAAGATCAGTTCATTGCTGTGTGTGTGTCGGCCGCCCACTTCCTCTGCCCTGTCTTCAGCTGATGCTAGTTCACACTCTCGTAAAACCTTAATGACATGTCTTAAAACACTAATGTGTCCAATTGATCTCTGCTAAAAGCAGGTCTGACAGGCGTAACTCCGAGCGGAGGTTTCATGTGCCATTAGTGAAAAGAACAAACTTTTCATGAAAGAGATAAACGAGGGCGCATCCTGAGGGAGCGAATCACTTTTAGCATTCCAGGAAAGTCAGCCAAAACCCTGCAGTGATGCAGCCTCACTGGACCTCACTGAATCGGACATTAAAATGTTTAAGGAAAACTTGTTCAAAAGCGAAGAGGTGTTTAATGTTCTACCTTGAATATCTGAACTGCTGTGCGAGCGTCCGTCCGTCATCTTTCCAGTACGTGCTTGGACGTGACTCTCCACATCGTCGGCACTCAGGAAGTCTCCAGGTGCGAGAGACACCTGGGACAAGTGAACTTGGGATGAATGACCACTATTCATCACTCGCTTTGAGAGGGGCAACCTGCATGAACATAAAAAAGTATTTCAGAAAGCCAGTTAAAAATAGTTTGGACTAGATTAGTCAGTTTTTAATGCCACAAAAACCTGATATGAGAAAGAACATACTTGGCCATAATGACTGTGGCCATTTAAATATATATATATATATATATATATATATATTTTTTTTTAAGTCATTTATATATATATATATATATATATATATAGACAATACACAAAACAAAGATATATATATATATATATAATCCAAATAAGAAAATAAACAATTACTATCAAATGAGTACAAAACAAATTAAAATAGGCCTACTACATATATGATACAAATTTTGCTAATTTTTAATACATAGCAAAAACATTAGATAAGATGATAGAACAGATACGTTTTTTGCAAGATACATATATTTTGCATGTATACATATATTACATTTGTACACAAATTACGTATATCCACATGCACCTCAACGTATGTGTACTTACTGGGTTGCTCTTTATTGACATTTAACAGAGAGCAACTGATGAAATGCTGTTTTCACCACCTCCCAGGTATTTCAGTAAAACCTCTAAACACTTCAAAACAAAAGGTCTTTAGCTATCACACACCGAGCCACGAATAAAAAAGGACCTTGTGTTAGAAAATGGTTGTTTTGACTAGACTGCTTTTGAGTTTCATTTCAGGAATGAGAGGTGTGTTTTTAAAAGAGATTGCTCTGAAATATTGTCCCCAACACAACCACGAGTCATGTGCCAGAAAGAGCGCATGCGAACGTGAGATCTGTTAAATAGAAAAAACACGAAACATTCCTCCCTTCACTCCCTGTCCCGTTCCCTGTATCCCTCTCTGCCCTGACCACAGCCATTTCCTCAGGAAGACCTGAGGGCGACCACACAATTGTGTGACATTCTCACCAACACAATTCATTTTCTCTCTCTTTTCTAAAATCACTCAGTGACTTAAAAGTCAAAGATCTGGAAAAAAACATGCAGGCCTTTGCCAGTTTTGAGAAGCAAAACTTATTTGGAATAGTGATTCCAAAACACAGATTTTCCTGGATACTCATCTCGGTGGGAATGTTAGGATAGGGAAATAGACCTACCCTGTGTTCTGTGTCCCAGAGATGTCAAAGGAGAACGATTCCACTCTGGTCCTGTCTGAAGGCAGACTCTTCACAAATTCAGTGTAACACAGACCTGGCTCGTACAGTTTAGCGTTCTCGCAGAGTGACTGGAAGTTCACGGGCAGGGACACCACCTGTGCCTGCTGCATCTGAAACCAGTTCACCGTCACCTGCAAATAAGAAAATAAACAATTACTATCAAATGAGTACAATTGAGGCCATTGACACAAACAGTCCGTCCTAATTGTGCCAAACAACTGCAATATGTTGCAGAAAAGTTACTGGTCAGAGGTAGAACAATATAAGGATTTTTTTTTTATGTTCATGATCCAAACTTTAACGTTAATCTGTTTTAAAATGTTTACATTTTTGAATTTTAAAAAAGCAATTAAGTGGAAAAGAATTTCAGACCAATGAGATTCAGTGTAATCGTTAACTAAAACTAAAAAGCTAAAACTTAAAATAAATTAAAAAAAAACTTGAAATTAAAAGTAAAAAGTAGAAAAATGAAAAGTAGAAGTGTTGCCATAGCAACTAAATGAAGTAATAGTACTTTTATTAGTACTTCGACTTTGAAGTTGAAGTACTAAACTACAAAAATTTCAATTAAACTAAATATATATATATGAAGAGTTCAGATGCAAAAGCCTCTAAATGCCATTTGAAATTTTCTTCTTTAATGATGATTTTTGTCAAACTTGTATATTTAAGTTCAGTAATTTCACTTAAATAACAATTAATAGGTAATTATCATTGCCATTTAAGTGAAAACACTGAACTTAAATATACAAGCTTGATAAAAATGATCATTCTAGAAGAAAATTTCAAATGGCACTTAGAGGCTTTTGCATCTGAACTCTTTATATATATATATATATATATATATATATAGAGAGAGAGAGAGAGAGAGAGAGAGAGAGAGAGAGAGAGAGAGAGAGAGTGATTTCAATTAGTCCATTTACCATATGTATGTATAAATATATATATATATATATATATAAAACTAATGTCAAAAGCACATAACATATCACTAACTAAAACAAAGCTAAAAATAAAATATAATTATTAAATGAAAAACTGAACTAACCGAAATATAATGAGTTTAAGTTAAAGTACTACATCCCTAAAATAAAAACTGAAATTAAAGATTATATATATATATATATAAAATTACAACAACTGAGCCTAAAATTAAAAACTGAAAAAAATAAAAGCCAATTCAAAAAACAATAACCATTATAATAGTATATAAATAACATGGCTCAATACACTGGCTACACAGATAACAAGAAAAAAGTAAAAAAAAATCAAGCAACTGTCAAAAGAAAAAACAATTTAAAAGATTTATCGCTTGACCATTGAGTCATTCCTGGTTAAGAAATTGTGAAATTTAACCTGTAGCCAGAGGTCACTTTGTTGAAGTGAAGTCAACCAATTACAATCCCCCTCAAGGATCCCAGGTGTGCCTGTTTTGTCTGAATGTCCAGTAATAAGTTAGATTTTATCTAATGGTGTGTGTACATTATTACTCACTGCTTTCAGGGTCAGGTCGCACTGAAACACAAGCTCTCGTATCTGAGTAAGAATCTCGCTCTTGGTGTTGGCCAGGTCCACTCTCTTCACTCCGACATCTGTAATGCAATGCTTATAATGTTCTTGGGCTTCCTCTGCCTAGAAACGGACACATACAAACACAATTATATTTAGACCAGGATATTTCCTGTTTCTCTCATTTCTGGCCAAAATCATCTTTGTGTCTAAAACAACTGATTATTTACAGCAGGCTGGAGAAAACTACTTTTGCCAAACCACAAGAAACTCATAATTTACAGTTTATAGTAGCCTAAAGTAAATATACATACTAAATAAATATATTTAGTATAGTATTGTAGAAAACAATATAGTAGTAAACTATAGTTGTGACTTCTTAGTATTTTGGAAAAGTAGCTAGTAACAAACAAAAAATAGCTGCAACAATGAAGCTACTTAAAGGTGCAATCTTATTGTATTCTATTATATCTAATATTTATAAAATATTTTATTATGAAGAACATTTTTTTTAATTTAATTTGAAAAAATTAATTGGTTTTAATGGCACTTTAACAACAAGGATCTCAAAAACATAAGGTGAAAATATAAAAATACAACTAATTAAGTAAAAATAAAATAAAACAAACCTCCATAGTGTATATAAATGAATAAAAAGTATAGGTAAAGTGCATCTACAAAATAAAAGTCTTCAGAGTGCTCATTAAAATTAATAATAATTTTTTTAATATATATTTTTTTTTTTTTATGATTTACATATACGTATTGCAAAATGGATAAAGCAACGGTTATGTGTTGCGTCCGTGTCAGACCTTCAGCAGAGCCTCCTCCTCCAGTTTGCGTCTCTTCTCCAGCTGTTTTCCTCCAGCCGTTCCGTTCTGTTCCTCCTCCACTCGACTGGTTGAGCAGCGGGCTTTCTCGTACTCTTCCTGCCTCTGAGCCTGCAGGAGCCGGGCCTTCTTCAGCGCACTGTCTGCTTCATGCTGTAAATACACAATAGAAACACATTCATATATGATTAGCCAATCATAACAGAGGTCGTTTAAATGGAGACATCTTAAAGGTACAGTAACAAAAACAGCCTGTTTAATGTTTAAGTCATTTTACTTCCATAATGTGATGATAAGCAAATAAATCATTGCTTTTAGACAAAAAAAAAAATGCTTTAATAATAATAAAACATTGCAAAAAAAAAAATACTGGTCCTTCAAAAATCATTTGGAAAAAATACCAAATAAACACCATTAAAGAGCCATTTCTCATAATAAAGTCAAACTCATTGAGCTAAATTGAGCATATGCACATATGCATACCCAAAAACACAACACATTTTCTATAATTATCAAATCACACAAATACGTGTTAAAGGAAGTACACACTTGATGCCCATTCAGAGGCACTAGAAGAGCACGGACAATCTGCACTTCAGAGTGTAGCGGTGCATAAGCACTACCTTAAACTTTCTTTGTTCTCTTTTCGGCAGTAATAAGTCATGCTTAGGTGCTAAACAGTCGCTTACCAAAATACCTCACACAAAGACATGCCTGTGCACCAACAGAATGAAGTCGCTGCAATTGAATCTGAGTTAACACAGAGCCTCTATTAGATCAAGAGAGGAATTTGAACAACAAACAGGCTGACAGCCAACTGGGTTTTCAGAAGGGGACCTCATAAGTGAGCAACGCATTTCGCAAATACTGCTTTTGATTGATTTGCATTCAAATCTACCCACCATTTTCTTCTGCTCTCTCTGCCATTGCTCCTTCACCTCCTTTCTCAACTTATCGAGCTCATTTTTTCGAGCTTGCAGAGGCTAAAAAAGGACATACACTTTTAAAAAAACGAGTACATTTTCAATTAATCAGTTTAGCATAAGATCAAAATCAGAAAGAGAATAGTAGTTGTACCTGCATGAATTTGTTGGACTGTAGCGCAGCTGTGGTTTGCATGATCAAATGGCTGTATTCAATATCGTTTTTGAAGGCAGATATGTAAATATCCTGGAATGGCATGTGCTCCTGGAATCAACCACAAAGGATTAAACAAACAGATACAAAGCATTGATTTTTTTTATAGTCTGAGAATGGAAAACGTTTTTGAATTGCACTTTTATGAAGAGGATATCATAAAAATATTGACCTGTTGAGACGCCAGCGCCTTTGCAGATTCAGCCATCTTGGCGTAGCACTTTGCACACTCAATGTCTGGGAATAAATTCAAAGGGTATGATTAATATAGAGTCTTGGTTTGTCAGTTCAATTACACAGTCATCCATATATATATTTACACACACATACATTCATATCCACATATAAGAATTATTCACTAAATACTAAATTAATAGCAGCTGAAAGATCAGCTTTGCCATTACAGGATTTTTAAAAACATATTAACATAAAAAACAAATAAATGCAGCCTTGGTGAGTATAAGAAACTCCTCTCAAAAACATAAAAAAAAAAAATCAGATTCTAAACATTTAAAAGGAAGTTTAAATCATTTAAATCACATTATCATGACCATTGCCTGTGTAACATATAATGGTATAGATACTAATCTGGAAATTAAATATTTCTCATTCTTGTTTTGCAAGCCCTGTATATTAACTTAGCATACAGCTTTCTGATTAGCTTGATCGTGTAGCTTATACCCTACTCAAATATTAAATTATACATATATTTGTTATCACATTTTCAGTAGTCACTGAAAAACACACAACTGACCACTAAAGGTGAAGACAAAACATGACAGTAACTCCCTCATCTAGTAATGACAGATAAACATGCTTGTACAGATATCTAGATGCTGGACTCACCCATATTAAGACGTTTGTCCACCCAGGCCAGGAGTTCCTTGGTGTATTTCGACCAGGCTTTGGCATAGAGCAGGGCCGACTCCACCCCGCTGTCACTCCGGAGCAAAGCTCCATCCATCTCCTCCACCCTCGCGGGAGGAGAGGGACCTGCCAATGGGACAGACACATAGCCAAACACATCCGTGAGGGTGAGCAGCAAGGGCTGTCGCATGGATCCCAGAGAGCCCACCCCAGACATAGGTGTTTTTACACCAGGGGCAGGGTGTTTGCGTACGTGTGTGTGTGTGGGACAGAAGGAAAGTGTTTACTGACCTTGGGGCTGTATTAGAGTGGATTGTCACTAAGCAGCCCTGCCAGGATTTAAAGTGACAGCGAATGTGTGAGCCGAGAGTTTATTCACACATGCTGAGCCTGAGAATGATCAGTGAAATCTGATCTGAGAACAGGGAGCTGCTTGATATGAGTCTACGTGGGTATGATCCGTGTTGCTAAATTCAAACCTTTGCAATTGTGGTTTTATTTCTGTAATGTGACATGATTCAAATTGACATGGGATATTGAAGGGAAGAAAAAACGAATTTTATCCATCAGAAATCACTTGAATCATAAAAAGTGACCTTTATGAAAGGTGGGAGGAGTTGAAAAATAAAATGATTGCTAACAGTCGAAAAAGAAAGTTGTAACAGAGGCAGAGAAACAATAAAATAAAATAAAATAAAATAAAAAGTTTCAGTGGCAAATCTTTAAATCAAATAAATAATTCTAAAGAAATAAATCAATGAATAAATAAATAAATTTGTAATGAGGAGAAAATTGTTGATTTTTAATATTTAAATATTTAATATTTAAATATTAAATCTAATATTTATTAAGTAAGTAACTTATATGCATAAAATCTTGGATTGACTCTCACCTGGAGGGTCATCTTTTTCCGGTCCACATCCTCCGGACTCCACCGTCAGGTTTTCAGAAGACTGAAATAAGACAAAGGGGACAATAAAAAAGACGGCAGATTGAACAAACAATCCAATACAGAAAAGGAAACACGCTTTATCTTCTATATCTGGTTTATCTGAGAGTACTCAGTTAAATCACAATGCCAAAGTGTCACTGGCATTTTCCATGAGATATATCACGGGGGGGTTGATCCAAACAGGAAGGGCCCTCTTCTCCAAAACAGACCTTGTTTCTATTTTCCTTTACTGAGCATTGCACTCTCTGACCCCCACATCTAAAGCACAGAAAGCAGCCAGATCCTTCAGCCTTTGACATGACATACAGTCACCTGTTATTCGGACTGCTTTAAAGTGTATAATGAGGAGTGGAAAGCGGGAAATCTCACCCTGCTCCTGCGGGCCTGAGGAAGCCCCGAGGCTGAGCCATTCTCTACATCTCCCATAAGGAAGTCAGACACTCTGAGGAAGACAAGACAAAAACAAACTCAACATTAAAACAACACACATATGCGCACATGCACAGCTGGACCACAGCTTTGTTTCAAAAATCTATTGAGACCACCAATCTATCTATAACCACCATAGGTAGCTGCATCTCAAGAAGGCATTCATGCAACCTTGTAAGTGACTGCTTTGGAACGTTGAAGCACTTTTAACTTGAGTGTCATGCTGAAAGAAGCAAAAACACATTCTTCTAACACATGTTTACACAGAAAAAACAATGGAAAAACAGTGCAGTGGAATTCTAAAAACACATTCGGTATGGAAAGTATCGTAACTATCATGAAACCTCAAAAGTGACCAATATGGAGTGGTCTACATACGCAGCAACTAAAAAAAATTGACTTAGAGACTTGACTTGACTTAATTCCAATAGTTTGTTGTTAGCATGTTGCTAAGCTAACACTGCAATACACTTATAAGCATAAAAATACTTACCACACACAAATATTTCGAAATTGCATATTCTTTTGAAGTAACTACACCACAACCGTTAAAAAAGTATGTTCTATATCTCATGAATGCGTAGTATGAAAGTAATCTGTAAATACTACACATTCCTAAGTTGTTACTACTAACAGTGTCAGTTATGTCACTTTGCTGCCATTCACAATTCATCTCCAGTGGCCTCATGGGATAAATTGTCCATTGGACGCACACTTCAGAATCTCACCAGAAGAAGTCAGTCGGGTATTTTGCGCCTACTGTTTTATAAATACTAGGAGTATGCATGTTTGGATGCAGCCACTGCCTTTTATTCAAACGATGCAATGGTTCTTGTAATTTTTCTAAAACAAAGCATCTTAAAAGGTAGTATACTCAAGTTGCCCTTTGAAACAGCTTTCGTCTATGATAAAGTTCACTAGGTTTAGGAACAAAGCTAATGACTCACACACACAATCGTGCACACTGATGTGAAAAATAACAAGCAACACCTAAACCACATAGTGTCGGTGTTATCTTATTAAACAGACACGCATTCAGCTTGCTGACTCAGGGAGGTCACTATCCTCTGTGCAGATGTTTTTTATATGACGAATCAGATAATGTTTCATGACAAACCAATGATTTTACAGTAACATAATGAAGCAGCTGTGTTGCACTTACACATTGCCAAACGTGAAGGCCAATGTATCTATGGAAGTGTAGATCTCGGAAAAGAGCGTCTGCTTATTGTCTTCATTCACTTCCTTGAAGTTAACACCTGTTTGATGACAAAAGATGAGAAAAGAAGGGTTTGAAATGAAAATATTAAAATCTTTATCTTGATTATTACATGGATACTGAAACAAATGAGTGAATGAATAAATAAAAATACATATATATAATGTATAGCCATATATATCAAAGGTGTTGCTATAATAATATAAACACACTTAAACAATTATTAATTACTAGCTAAACAGATTTTGCATCCATCAACTTTTCCAGTCACATCGTACATAAAAATATATGATGCTTGAGTCAAATTCTACTTTAAGATTGGGAGTAACATTATGACTCAGTTTGTAATCTAGAGAAAACTTTGTTTCCTGAGTCTAAACACTGGACTAGTAAAGACAGGGAGGAACTAAACAGCAGTGTAAATAAGCTACAATCAGCTCCAATAATACACACAGTGAAAATAAACAAGTGGCAGACCTTGCCAAAACCACTGACGCCATTCCTATCAACACCCTCCCCCCACGATCCCAAATCCACCCCAACACACCCTCCAAAAGAAGAGTTGTGAAGATAAAGAAGGCCAGTGGATGTCCAGGTACTCCATTACAAAAGATTTCACCAGTTATATACCTAGCATACCTTCCTATCAGGTCACTACTGGTTTAGTTACCATTACAGTCTCAGTTTAGCTTTCCGGTGCCACTCAACTGAGAACAAGAAGCTTTAAGAACTCTTGAAAGCCCTCAAAAATCATAGCGTGGCTAAAAATCAAATCAAGAATCTGTCCTCAAGACTCGAAACAATTCCTCAAAGCAAACACTTACCAACCACTACACTTCCCATTCAGTTAGCACACACCAAACCGCTGGGAAAAGACAGATGAAAAGTCAAAATCGATTAGTTTCCAGGACACTTTTTAGGGTCTTTCGCCAACAAACTTTGCTTGAAGACACTCCTGGTCTGAATGGACACAACGGCTAGGCTGCTCTTCTTGACCTTTTGAGATCTTCCCAAAAGGTTTTTTGATTCTGAAGCGAACGTGATGCGGACCAGAAGCTCCTTCTACCGCCGTTTACGAAGTTCTGTCTGGTCCTCACGTCCCCTCGTCCCTCCACATACCCCTCCCCAACAGGACATCCTGAAGCTCGCAAGAACACAATGGCAGCCCTCACCATCCACACACAATCCAAATGTGGAAGTTACATCATCAAGCAAAAATGGCATTGTTTTTTCGCGTTTTTCCCCCTTCTCTCTGGGAAATCAGGCACCAGTGAGGCTTGCTAATCAATTTCACCTCTAAATCAAGAGGGAGGAACTGATAAAACATGGATGAGACCAAACATTGAGCCCCCCAGAGACCCAGTTTAGACGTTTCCCACAGAAGATACCAAACTTATCTGTTCAGATAAGGATGACACTGACACGTCCTCACATTAGAGGTGGTTAAAATGCAGTCCTAACTGGGTGAGCAGAAGAATTTGATGGATTAGTCTCCGTAAGCTCTGGGAATTTGGAGAGCAGCACTTAGTCAAATGGTCTCCAGTCAATCGGATGAATGGGTATGGAGCGTCCCTGAGGGATGTAGGTGGTGAGAGGTAAAGAGCCACAGGGATGATGGGAACAAACACACCCCCTTTTTGTTGGCAGCCCATGAGAGACGCCGTACCACAGAGAAACTTCAATTACTTTTGAAACCAAATACGTACAAGAACGTTGCATGAGTTCTTGCATAACAGCAATGCAGGAAGGTAAAAAACCTCCTCGTGGCTCTCTCTCAAGAAAACAAGCCTTATTTTTATTTCCTCAGAACAGGACGGTATGCTGAGCGCTAAAATCATCAAGGACACGTCACACGAGGTTCGTCAACATCAGCACATATCTTCCCATCAGGATATTCGGCTTTTGGGGAGTTTATATTGGGATGTTCGCATAACAATCTGGACCGCAGTCCTCCCTAGAGCCTCTGTGAAGGTTTGCCTAAACTCCTGCTGGTCCCTATCTCATCCTGAGGGTCAGTGTCACATTTCTGCAGCGGACACATGTGCCGAGCTGAACATGAGAGATTCAGCCCTGTTCAAACTCCACAGTGGAGTTCTTATCATGCTTGGAGCTCCCCGATCCGGATATTCAACTTTCTCTTATTCTAATCTCCGAGCCACAGAGCTAGAACACTGATTATTCAAGTGTCACATTACAAAGGTTTCAGTGTGTGTGTGTGTGTGTGTGTGTTTATCTGAGAAAGAGAGAGAGACATTGGAAAGTGGTGCCAACATAAGAAGCATTTTGCCCCTCTAGTGGTGGAAGCTGAAACTTACCATTATCAAAAGAGTAATTCACTTTTAAAAAAAAAAACTTTCCTGATAATTTACTCTCCCCCATGTCATCCAAGATGTCCATGTCTTTCTTTCTTCAGTCGAAAAGAAATTAAGGTTTTTGATGAAAACATTCCAGGATTTTTCTCCATATGATGGACTTCAATGGGAACCAAACGGTTCAAGGTCCAAAAGACAGTTTCAGTGCAAAATGCAAACTGTTCAAAGGGCTTTAAATGAAAAAAAGTTTTATAAGTTCAAACGCTCGCCTTGCTCTGTTCTGTGATGCGCGTTCGTGACTCTCCTGTTCGAACTCGTTCATCAAAATGAACAAATCTTTTTAGAGTCAATTCGTTCATTTCGCTCATTGAATGAACCAAATGACTCAAAAAAGATTTGTTCATTTTGATGAACGAGTTCGAACAGGAGAGTCACGAACGCGCATCACAGAACAGAGCAAGGCGACCATTTGAGCTTATAAAACGTAAACTTTTTTTTTTTTTAAATGAGTGATCGTTTCGCTTGATAAGACTTTTATTCATCGTCTGGAATCGTTTAAAGCCCTTTGAACAGTTTGCAGTTTGCACTGAAACTGTCTTTTGGACCTTGAACCGTTTGGTTCCCATTAAAGTCCATTATATGGAGAAAAATCCTGGAATGTTTTCATCAAAAACCTTAATTTCTTTTCGACTGAAGAAAGCAAGACATGGGAATCTTGGATGACATGGGGGTGAGTAAATTTTTTAGCAAAAGTTTTTTTAAAAGTGAACTACTCCTTTAACAAATGCTAGAAAATCGAAGGGTGAAATCATTAATATTTAAAGGTTTTCATACAAAATGTTGTTGTACATTTGGTTAAACATTGAAATCCAAATCCAATATTCACAGCTAAAATGTAAATCCAGAATATTTATTTATAATATAATATTTTTTATAGAATTGTAATTATATAATAATAGTTAACCAAATTTGCTACAATTACAATAAATCTAAATTAATCAAATTGAAATTAATGTTCTAATATTTATATTACCTCAAATGATTCATATTATACATATACATTCATAAGTATCTAAACTTGCAGTCAATAACACATTCAGTATTTATGCACATGTACAAAATGCACTCATGTTAGAAAATTTACGCATACTAAAGACTAAAAAACTGATTTAAGTTCAATAAATTTGATTTTTAGCTGGCAGCTGCACAGAAAGAGGACACGAAAAGGTATGCATAGCAACATAACTGTTTAAAAAAAGAGGAAACTGAAAGGTTTGGGGATGTGTTTATACAAAAACATCACATGACCCGCTATGAGATCAACTTTCAAAACAGAGCTAGGCATTTTAGCTTCAGTGCCCAATAACAGTGAAGAGTGCAAGTAAACTGACCACATAATAAACCAAGACCTGCCATTTAGTCCCGGTTCTGTTTGTGTTAACAAGTGAGAACCAGCAGATAATTCAGCACTGAAAATGTTGAAATCAGTGACACTACAGGCCACATATCAGCATATGTGGTTAAATTAATATTTGTCTATGAAATGAACATGCACACAGTGGTCCTAAAAACTATACGCACACTTAGGCCGCACTTAAAACATCATTGATTTAGACAACAAAATATCAAACTAAGTGGTTTCTAAGAGCACAAGATTTTTGTTAGATGCTATGCAGATACAGAGATTCTTGTCCGCAAGCCAAGTGAAGCATCGCCATGCATGGAGATGCTAATCTCTCACCGTGGAACCAAGTGAAACGGGATTCCTCTACTCTGACAAGGACATTGTACTCCAAGCAAGCGTTTTCCCCCACACATACGTGCACTCACACAAACACACTTGTAGACATGCATTGTTCTGCTTTTCCAATGTCAGCCCTGTGAGAAGCTTGAGAGAAACAAAGATGTCTCTTTTCAGGGATTTGATTTCCACATGCATCTCACAGAGCTTTGTATGCACTGGTAATCCTGCTGGAAAATCATCTCTGGCAATTTCGGGTTTATCGTTGCTAGTGACATGAGACAATTTAGAGTGATACAGAGTGCAAAACAAGAGTGGGAGGCCCGTGAGAGAGAGTTTGAGGCACCAGATAGCAATGAATGAGCGTCTCTCCCTCATTCTTCTACACTGTGTAATATTAAAGTCGAAGGAGGAGAGTGAGACAACTCTTTACCTTTGACCTTTGCGATTAGGGTTCCTGCTGCACTGAGGATTTCAACTGAATTCAAGGAGTGGTGTTTGGAAATCACAGCTTTCAACACACGCAGCAGCTCTCCCAAACGCTCATGAACCACCTGGTGCAGACAATTCTGGTGATCTGAAACACATATAAAGAAGCATTACAGTCATGAAAAAAAAGTCACACACTTCTTAATTTTCTGAAGAAAAAAACCCTGAAAAAACATGATTGGCTGCGAGGGAGTTGCTAGGGTGTTATGGGTCGTTGCTAGAGCATTGATAAGTGGTTGCTTACTGGTCCAAAAGAGCCCATCCCATCCATGTTATAATTGACTGGGCAAAAACCGCAAGTTTTATTAATTAGAAACCTAACAGACATTAATCAGGTAAGATGCCATATTGAATTTATCAGATGAAAACAAGGCTGTGGGGGATTATGGCAAGCCGTTTTAGCTTTTATTCATTTCCAGGATATGAATTCTGGATATCAACAATTCAATTGTTGATATCAAGAATTACATTTTTGATATCAACAATGGGCTATATGCACGCATAAGTTCCGCATTTGACGCAAGGATGCTCGTCCATTTCCGGTTGTGGAGATTTAAGCGGAGGAGAACAGAGGAAAACGGGATTATGGCAGAGTCTTCAAAATTTACTGTCCTCCCATCTTTGAAACGAAACGTACATACGTTTAGATGTAATTTTATATATAGTTATGATTATTTAATATAATTTTAAAAAGAAGCATAAACACAACGAGGGGTGTCTGTTTTATCTGTTTTTGTGACTAACTTTATTATAACCATGGAGTTTAAAATTCAATATAAATTCTCGGTATTGCATTGGACTCTACGATCGGCGGAAGTTATCGAGCATCCTAAATCCTTCACCGGAAATACCGCCGTGCATAGAGCCCATTGAATTCTTGATATCAAAAATGTAATTCTTGATATCAACAATTGTATTTTCACCATAGGCTGCCATTCAAAACCAATTGTTGACATCAAGAATTGATTTCTTATTTTGATTAGTTAAAATTCCAATTTTACATATCAGAAATACAATTCTTACTAGTAAAAACCTTTATTTTTGATATCAAAAATTCAATTGTTACTAGCTGAAATGTCTATTTTTGATATTGACAATTGAATTGCTACTAGCTACAATGTTCATTTTTGATATAAATAATTCAATTTTTACTAGTGACAATGTTAATTTCTGATATGATGAATGTGATAGTTACTAGTAAGAAAGCCATTTTAGATATCTGAAATAATATTGATATCGGAAATACATTTTTTTCAGATATCAAAAATGAACATTTTTACTAGTACCCACTGAATTGTTGATATCAAGAATAGACATTTCATTTAGTGACAATTTAATTATTGATATCAGGAATTCGCATTTTTATTAGTAACAATGTAATTATTGATATGGAAAAAAATTATATTTATACTAGTAAAAAATCAATTCTTGATATAACAATTTATTTTGAATGGCAGCCTATGGAGAAATTTCACTAGTGAAAATACAATTACAGATATGTCAGCAATTACATTTTTTGATATCAAGAATTCTATTGTTGATTTCAAGAATTCAATTGTTGATATCAAGAATTCAAATGTTGATATCAAAAAACGTAATTGTTGATATCAAGAATTCATATCCTGAAAATGAATAAAGGCTAAAACGGCTTGCCGTAGGGCATAGACTTACAGTCTTTACAATGGCTCACACTGTATAAAGGTGATAGATCACATCATTTTCACGATTCAACTTTCAAAACATTTTTTTCTCAAACTTTTTCAGCTGAACAATCTGTATGTTTTTGTTAAACGTGGAACAAACTGTACCATCCATAACAGCCTATTTATTATTTCTGTCAAAAATGAAATATGGTCCTGACTAAGGTCTATTCTCTTCAGTTAGTTCCATCCATAACAAGTACAAATATCAGAAATCCAAGCTGAACTAAGTTGTTTTTTTGACACCTGATTCCGTCTAATACGTCATCAAACACTTAACATACACCTGATGGAGGAAGAGCTTACACTTAAATTCTGAAAGAATCCTTTGCTTAGATTAGAAACAAAAACACAATGGCATGAACCCGTCTGATCACTACATCTACATTCACATCTCATTACCTTCTGTGGCTGAGATAACCATTTCTGAAACACATTTGCTTTCATTATGTAACTCCAGCCTGCTGCCTGGTCAGTCCAAGCACACATTGCACAACCCAACAATTAGTGCCGACTTTCCAGACACATTCAAACTGAACTTCCCACATGGGGCCTTCTATCTATACAGCTTCTTTTGACCTGTTTCCCCCTAGATTCGCAATAGCACACAAACACATACCCACGCACTCGCTTACCCATAAACACATTCAGGGGCACCATGTTCAGTCGCACCCTCTCTCAGCCATCAAAGCCACATTTGTGCTGACGGTGGCCTCTGGATTACCCGGCATACGGAAAAGGGGATCAGGGAGACTTTACCCCCTCTACCCTCTTTTTTCGCTCCATCTCTTTTCCGAAAAGCAACAAAAAGAGCCTGCGGTGGAACTAATGCTGCTGTGGATGGTGACTACCATGGAAATGACTGCTGCTCTCTGGCCTTAGAGAGCCAATGCAGTCTGACCACATTAGAGTTACGCAAGGGAAGTTAAAGGAAAACAATTTTAGCGATGCAACGATATTGAAATACTGACCTTTATTTTCATGATGTGGGCAATAACCGATAAATGGCCAATAAAAAAAATAAAAAAATCACAAAATACGAAAAAAATACATAACTGTTTGTAAGCTACAGTACAAGTCAGTTTAGACATCACAACATGATCATATAAATCATGAAAGATAAATATTCTGATAATAAATAAAAATGAGCATAAAGTCTAAATTAAAAAAATGTCCTCTTGAAATGGTGTTTACTATGCTTTTCATAACATTAATGAAGTATATTTTAAAAGATATTTTAAAATATGTGCAATACAGACTGAAAAATACAATAATGAATAAGGCGTCAACTGATATGGTACTGAAATATCATCGTGCAACCTTATAACAGTCCAATCACTGTGGTTCACTAAATCATGTGTAATAATAGAAATCAGTGTGTTCCTCAGCTTCTCAAGAACCTTGAAAGTGATAAAAAGTAGTTTTGAAAAAGTACCGTCTAAAATCCCAATGCAATACGCATGTGTACCCACATGCCCTGATATGGTTAATGAACTCATACCGTGATCTATAAATACCACCTCCGTGCCCTTGAGCAGTAATCGGGATTGCTGTAAACGTACAGTCTGTTACTTTGAATAAAAGCTAAATCAGCCCTTTTCAAACTTGGGTCTGTGGGATTTATAAAAAATAAAATAAAATATTGCCTTTATTGTCATAATTTGGGTCTTTCTTAGGCATTAAAATGTTAGAAAACGCCAATATGCCAGAATGACATATCTACATTGATGTTCAACCCTACTGCCCTTACCAGTGTGAACAGCAGGTCTGCCACTGTCCTGTTGCTTAAACACTCATTTATCTTCATCAAGTGTCATGTATAAGCGCTTCCTGATGAGATAACCCATTGCTCTCTTATGAGAACTGAACCAAGCTTTTGTTTTAATCTTCTGTATCCAATCTTCAGCAGCTCCCCTCCTGTTTGAAAGAGGCCAACCCTGCACTTCTGACCCTGAGACCCCTCGCCATGAGTGCTATTACACATCAGATGAGGTTATTGCATGTGGGAGTGTGCAAGATGTGTTCCCGTAAGCCTACAATGTCTTACTCTGAGCTGTGAGGAAAAAGGCTACTCTAGGTGATTGTGAAGTCACCATGCTTTCCAAGTTAAATCATCTACAGTTCAATGAGTCAATGAGGCCTTGAAAGAGGAAGAGGAACGTCTACAGAGAGTATTTTATCATTTGTATCTGAGGAGTTATAACACGTATCTGAAGACATTTGTGGAATATAAGAAGTTTTTATCATTTTTAAATGAATTAGCCACACCCCTCTATCCATTCTTCCATCCATCCATCCATCCATCCAAATTTTGCTTTTAGAGCTACATGAATTAATTGAATTTTAATTAGACTCAAATTTAAACTGCAATTCTCCATCCTGTTTGTTAGCTCAATTCAAATTCATTAAATTCATTAAAATGTAGAAGACACCAATTCATTTCTTAACTGTGTACAACCTAAATGGCTGACTAAGCATAATCTTAATCTTAATCCCAGCAATGTTGCAAGTCCCATACAAATCTAATAAACCATACCTAAACTAAACTTTTTTCAAAACTTTCAAACAAGATTGTCAAGTCAACATTCAAAGTTTTGCTTTTCTAGACGGGATACAGCACCGTTTCTCAGAGCATTGCACAAACTAAAGACCTCTCAGAGTTAAAGCGATACTCCACTTTTCTTTGGAAATAGGTTTATTTTACCACTCCCCCAGAGTTAAACAGTTTCCGAATGTATTCAGCCAATTTTCTGATATTTAGAAGAATTACTTCCTACTATGGAAGTCAATGAGACCAGAAACTGTCTGGTTACTGATATTTTTCTAAATATCAGGAAATCGGCTAAATGGATTCGAAAACGGTAAAACTCAACTGTTTAACTCTGGGGGAGTTGTAAAATGAGCCTATTTCCAAAAAAAAAAAAGTGGAGTATCCCTTTAAGTATAGAACCAACTAGCTGACTAAATCTTAATTTTAATCTTAATCACTGCAATTCTGAAACTGCCAGACTATTATTGAAGTTCTCTGCTATATTAAGCTTGCATTTCACTTGGGAAACATGAGACCAGGAACATTAAAGGGTTAGTTCACCCAAAAATGAAAATTAAGTCATTAATTACTCACCCCCATGCTGTACCAACCCCGTAAGACCTTCGTTCATCTTCGGAACACAAATGAAGATATTTTTGATTAAATTTGAGAGCTGTATAACTACCACATTGGCTCCTAAAGGACTGCCTCTTGACGGCCCAGAAAGTCAATGAAGAAAATGTTTAAATATCCCAAGTGACTACCGTGGCTCAACTATATGTTTATCAAGCGACGCGAATACTTTTTGTGCGAAAAAACAAACAAAAATAACGAGTTTATTCGACTATTTCTTTTCTT